CATATTATGAGAAGGAATGGATTAATGAGTGATATCACCGAAGGCCAGGTTGAAGGAAAGAGAGGACTAGGAAGAAGATTGATACAGCTAACCGACGACCTTAAACAGGGAAAGAAGATGACGTTCCAGGAATTAAAGCGAGAAGCCGAGAATAGGGACAACTGGAGAGCTCTTTTTGGGCAGAGCAATGGACCTGTCGTAAGACAGAACACTTAATAAAATAAAAAGTCCACCAGGCAGTAAACACTCCCCCCGCACCGCACCCGAAACGACTTCCATCGCAAAGCTTTTCTCGTGATCTGCAAGACCTGGTTCTTCAGAGTCTGGGTTAGGTGTAGACCGAACCAAGCAGAGACAGAGTCAAGCAAAGATCGGGTGTCACAGAATGTTTCAGGCAGAGAGTACGGATGAGGCAGAGACCTAGTCAAGCACAGACCGATTCCGATGAGACTGGGTGAAGTAAGACAGTCTGGCAGAGATCAGTTCTGAAAGCGATGGGTTAGGTCAAATTTTGAAGAAAGATATCGAATTTTTCAAAATTTTCGAAAAATCAAAAATTCTGCAACACACCTTTACAACAAAGTCATTCACACTCGTATATTCTTTAAAATTTAATTCTTCGAGTCGACTTTATCAGACTTTTCCATTCCGGTCTTGCATACCAAAGATGCTACCGTCTTGTGAACCTAGTTATCACAGATAATACTAACATACTTGACCCTTTGGTTGTTTCTTTCATTACCTTAGAATGTCTTCGCTTGGCCTATGTTTCCTGTGAAGTTTAAATGAAAGATGGCGTTAAATATTATTTGATATTCTACTGTTTCGTGATGCTTTCTGTGCTAACAAAAGAAAAATAAACTGCGCAACCCAGCCCCAATAATCTGTAGCCGACAAACATCAAACATGGAGTTTTATGATTCGGAAGAGTCATGTAGCTCTGTATCTTCCTCTTCATCTGTATTTTATGCTTCGGTAGACTCCCAAGAATCATCAGTAGATTCGTATCCGAGATTACCTTCAAATAACGTTTTAAAGAAGAAGAGAAATAGGAAACGGGCACCACACATATTGGATAAACTGTATTACAGAGAGGTAAGGTTCATTCCAAGCTTTCGGTATTCAGTTTTGTGGTTGGTTCTGTTGACAACAACACATTGTAATTGCTGTGGGTTTGCAGATCAGGGGTATCTTTGCCTCTCGGCCCCATGCAGCAAATTTAAGGCTTTTCTGTCAAGTGCCATCCCGCTGCCAGATTCGCCTTCGAAATGTGCTTCCAGAATCTGCTCTTGATTCCAAGTGAGTAGTAGTTTGTTTTTTCAAACACTAAGAATAATGTCATATTTATTTGTAAATTAGCAGGATGTGATTTCTATGTTATTACCAATTCTTCATTTCTGTTTCTTCCCTACAGTCATGTATTCCTGGGGCTCTCAAGATGTGGCCAATTTCTTTTGTCATACACATACACGACAGAATTGGATGTGATGACGTTCAACCAAGTTTATAAATACCGACTGCATTGGTGGGCATTTGTTCCTCACCAACAAGTGCGTAAAGTTTCTGAAGTAATGCTGTTTGGTAACCAAGGTGTATACAGTACGCTTTTCATTGCGGTTTGTCAGTGGCCAATGGATTACTCGAGAGTTCTTATTTATGGGAATTGGTAAGCTTGAATATATTCCATTCCTTTTTGTTGGATATCTTTCCTGTAGTTATCGCTATGTAACTTTTCATATTACTGCAGAGAACAGACAAGACTAGCAGTATGCCAGAATAGGCAAGTAATTTAACAGTACTAGATACAATTTTAACAACTGTGGTCTTGTATTCTGTACTTCTTTCTTTACAGTTGTCATTAATGCATCTTAATGTCTACTAATTTAATTTCTATAAATGCTGATTATAAAGTGTGAGAAAAACTTTTATATTGAGGAAACTTAATATTTATGCCAGTGAACATTTTCCATGCAACATGGTATAACCCTTTAAATAAATTCTATAAACTCATACGCTAAAATGAAACACCAGCCATATGAACCTTAAAGCAAAAATATGGGATGTTTTAACATATAGTCTCATGAAAATTGACCATTGCCCCTCCATCGTCAGGGTGATGATGGAGGCAATAAGCACCTGTGGAAAGTCACTTCTACCATACTACATGGCACATCATCCCAGAATACAGTAATTTTTATACAATATATCAAATAAAAAGTAATTTTTATACTTGCCACTATGAGAACCTGAATTCTCACAAGAAAGCGCACCGTTATAATTTAGTGAGCCGTTTGAACGACTGGCATGAAACACCAGTTCCAAAGTGTATTAAGAAATCTGCCTATTGAAGTTAAAATACTGTGTCAGCTGTTTTAAATGTTATAAACTAATGTACAGAATGAACTTTGTGCCCTTATAGCCAAGAGTCATATGGACAAAATACTGGTACGTGGAGTACATCACAACCTGAACGTTCATACCTTACAATCACCACTGTGCCGTCTCTGAATAAATGCCATGACTGTCTCAGAGTGGCAGCTTCATATGAAGAGGAAGGTAGAGTCTCTTGAAGTTTTCCAACTAAAATTTTATATGTTTTACATTATCTTTTCCATCTCATCTTTGAGTTAATCACCATTTTTATACAGTAGTAAAATGATAATGTTCTTTATATTGTTTTCTCTCTTAGACCTTAGGTTAATGAATCATGACATATTTTTCTGGTTTCATTCTTCAGATCTTGCGGCAAGTTGGGACAGTTGTGTGCGGAGTTCACACTTCATTTGATGTTGTTTCTCCCTTCCCCAAGTTTGAGCCGACTATATGCATGAAGCGTGAAAGCACGGTTGTATTCAACACAGGAAATTTTCTCCACGTGTTGCGAGCCGAGTTGGAGCACCTGAGTAATAGTTCATCTTCAGCAAGCAAACCATGCTCATCGAGTAATTTATTAACTTCAGACACTTCAGAAAATCTGGATCGGAATCCTTCAAATGCGGCTTCATCGGCCAGTGAGAACGGCTGTAACACCAAACAGGAGCTCTCTCTCACAATTACAGACAATGGCGGAAACGAATGTCGGAAAAATAACTCGTCTGGAAACAGTAAGACTGGTGATTCTGACCATAAAACAATAGAAAGCCAAGCATTGCCTCAGAATTCAAGAGTGTATGACACACGAGCTCGCGTGGTTCTACAAAGAAAGCAAGCCAGTTTACAGCAGCCAATATCATTTGACCTCCCTAAATGCCCCATCTCCCCACCACGTGAAAATGGTGGTGACTCATTTTCTTTGAAACAAGATGACTCAAAAGTTGGTGCTAATAATTGTACTCATAAAAGTCTTTTCAATGCTACCTCAGAAAATGAGAGACATATACACAGAAGTAGAGCAGCAAGAGTTATTATTGAGGAAGAAGATTATGATGATGATATTGATGATGATATTGGTGCTAGTGATGATGTGATTTCTAATTCACAGATATTTTTTATCTCCAGGGGAAACAGGAACTGTTCGGAGCAAGACTCGGAACATTTCCTCGTAGCCAGGCATGGCATCGCTACTAAGAATGGTAGCGATGATAATTTTAGAATAGGGTCAGAATCAAGGGTTGTCAGTAGGGACCTAACTGTTCCAAAAAATAGTGAAGCAGACATCTCTGAAAGTATATTTCTGTCTCATTCACGACCAATCATGAAGGTCAGTGGTAAATGTAGTGAAAGTGATTGCAAAAGAATACTGGAGTCTTCCTTAAAAGATAATCAAGAGAGAATTATTAAGTCTGAAACTAAAGCTGGGCATTGTAGAGATAGTATGTTTAACGGTCGCATTACCAGATCTCAAACATCGCGAGTTGCGGGACGTCTGGAAATGTTGGACACACCTGTAATAAATGAAAGCAATAAAGTTGATACTGAAAGAACAAAAAGGAGTGAATTTTTACAAATTTCTCATATATCAGAGAAGCCAAAATATGCGGTTGGAGAGACGGTATGGAAAGATCAATGTGATTTCAGCGGTGTCTGTAATAAAGAAAGCCGAATTATGGACTCCACTCAGGAACTCAATATAACATGTGGTAGCATGAATCCTACAATCTCAGAGGAGACAGTGTCTTCTGTTACCCTTATGTCTCCAATTCCAGGAACTCTGCTTATGGTAAATACAACTGAGGAATCAGAAAGTGATGACTGTCAGTCAAATCCTGATAGGAAGAGGGAAATAACTCCAAGTTCGTCAAGATCTAGACGAATCCGTGGGGGTACAACAGTCAAACTGAGTAGCCCTCTTCCAGCCATAGCTGCTACCGCACCACATGGCGGTAGTGCCAACAACACACACAACAAAATAGCAGAAGCAGAGAAAGCTTATGAATTCACTGATGATGGTTTGGAGCCGGGCTGTGAAAAACTTAGTTCCTTCCGTCGCCGCCGTCTTGCCGACAAGAAGTATGAATTCTGTGAGGAAGGTGAAGATGCAGAAAATATAGTTCCTTTTAGATTAACTCGTCGTAGGGAATTGTCCCCCAGACTTCGCTCGCCACCCCTCTATCTCTCTCCGTCTCCGCTCATGTTATCCCATCGAAGACGTCTCCACGATACTCTGGGAGATACGCCTGAACTTGTTATCTCTGGACCTCGCTCACCACAAATCTTGGCCGGTGACATCCACACAATAACCCAGACACCGAATCATCTAGAAACTGACAAGGTTGTTCTTCGCCCTCTTAATCGTAACACGGCAGCTACTCTCCTTCTCTCTCCAAGAGATCGTGATGGAAGTGGAGATTGGGTAAAGACTAATAGTAATAAGAAGTTACCCGTACCTGATGTTGTAACATTGTGTGAACACAATCCATTGGAAAAATCAGAACATAATTTATTAGAGAATGCTGTAGCACAGCCTGGAGGTTTAGGAAACCATGGTCTCCCAGGTGGAGCTCGAATGGCCAAGAAGGAATTTCCAAGCCCGTCACAACCACCCAACACTAATGGAAGCAGCAATGCTACTAGGTGTACAGTCCAGTTGAAACGACGTTACATTGAAGTAGATGATGAACTGGTATCTGTTATAACAGATATAGAAGGTAATTAAATCCTAAATTAGACTAAGTACTGTACTCTAAATTTATTTACTGTTTCTGGTGGCATGGCAGTCACTGGCATGAATTTCGAATTTTTAGTTCCTGCGTAACACACTTGATCTTCAAACATCGTGGTTTAGTCACATCATATTTATATTTCATTGTTATCCGAAAGAAGTAAAAGTAACTCTGAGCAGTTTAGAACTTGTTACTGAAACATTATGAAGCGTATACTTCTGTGTGGAAAATATTGGTAATTTGAAGATAAGAAAAGTATTACTTGATTTTTGTTATAGTATATCCACGTATAACTAAATTGTATAATAGTCGTGATAACCATAGATGGTAAGATCATGGAAAATAATATTTTATTTTATTAAAAGTTTCTGTAAAAATTTCTAATATATTCAGACCTATGGTAAAAACTTCTGAAATAACGTTCCATTTATGATATGACTATGGATTTACCATTTTTGCAGTTTACGCTGTTATGACAATCATAGAGAACAGTTCAGGTAACATGTTAAACAAATATCACTGAAATAGATATTACAGAGCATGACCAAAATATGGTTGAAAAAGCTTATCGCTGGCTGGTCTTTAAGTCTACCGAAAGATGTGAAATTTATTTCAGATTATAAGTAAATTTTTCATATCTGTGTTTCTCATGATAACGAGGATGTCTGTTTTTCTGGGTTCTGACACCGTGTAAACTCATACGTAGATACCAAATTTCAGAGAAAGGGACTGTCTCCATCTTCAGGATTTAAGTGGTGGTGCTGGGAAATACCTGTCCTTACTCTATCATTTATAAACTATGTACGTCCCAGCACTGCTACTTCAGTCTTGAAGATGGAGAAAGGATGTTTCCTGAAACACTGTTATACATGTACCAGCCTACGTGACGTCACAACCCAGAAAAATGAAATCCCTGTGATGTCTGTTTTCTAGATGATGATTACAGTGAAAGTACCGGTTATCACTGTGCACTTCCTCTTGAAGTACACGGTGCTGGTTATGCGCAGTTACAAATGATCTCCAATACAAAGGCTGGAAAACTGGTGAGTGTGTAACCTTAGACTTGTAAAGAACATGTTGAAGAAATGTGTACTGTTAGGATCCCCCCCTCCCCCAACAAATATTACAAAATATAACCTCGCCAAAAGAAGAAAATTCTTAGGAAGATATTTTCAATATCCTAGACAAACATGTGAATTATTGAAGATATCCGTCTTCTGGGTTGTTGCGCTGTGTAGTCTGGTCGATGTTAACCAACGTTTCAGAGGTCATACTGCCTCCGTCATCAGGGCCCTGATGACGGAGGCAGTATGACCTCTGAAACGTTGGTTAACATCGACCAGTCTACACAGCGCAACAACCCAGAAGACGGAAATCTTCATACTAAGAATCGCCCTGATGACGGAGGCAGTATGACCTCCGAAACTTTGGTTAACATCGACCAGACTACACAGCGCAACAACCCAGAAGACGGATATCTTCATACTCACCGCTGTGAGAACCTCAAGTCTTACATGTGAATTATTGATAGTCTAATTTTGTTCTGTCTTATTGTAGATGGCTCCGTGTGTTCTTGTCCATCAACGAAGTTTTGATGTTGAACAGTTTTGCCACGAAATAGCCGAGAGATTATGTATTGAAGCTGGGAAAAAATATTGGTTCTGCAATGATTATGATGTAGAAATAGTTGATGTAAGTTAAAAATTTATATTATTGATACAGATATATATATATATGTGAAATTTATTTCATTTTTGACTCTTCCTTATATCACATTCATCCACACAGTTTTGACAAAATAAGCTTTACTTATACCCCTTTTAAGATCTACAACTTTTATTTTAAACATTTTTAGTGTGGTGTGTATTTAAAGAAATCAAGGGGAAAATCATCTGTTATTCATTGTGGTATCTGTGGTGTGATAGGCTTCGTGACAGTGGGTTTTTGTTGAAAGTAAATGAACAATGCCAGTTAGGCATGTAAAATTGCAAAGAATGAATTTTGAAAACATGGAAACTTCAAAATTAGAGAGCAGATTCATGTTGTGATTTGTGTTTAATCATCAGGCTAACTTAGTATAGAATTATTATGTAACTCTTCATGAGAAAGAATCTTATGAATGTTCCCTTGTTCACTGTCTCATGACGTGTTCTCTCCTATTCCTTATTCTTATATTTCCGTGATCTCATAGTCTGTCCAACCCCCATAAATAACACCACAACCTGGAACAGTAATTTTAGGTCTTTTACTTCATGGATGTCTCAGGAAATGACGTAGATTCAGTTGGCAGACAGTAAAGCTGTTATTTTCATTATTTAATATTTTGTAGTCTTCGCCTTGGGTACAGTTAATATGACTTTAGTAAAACTTAATGTAGACAGAACAGGTTTGAGTTTCCACATAATCACTTAAAATATATAGTTCCCTTGGCTTGGGAATTTTATGAAAGTCTAAAACCAAATCTGCTTTGATGAGCAATGAATTCATACAAAGTAATACAATAAAGCTACCCTGAAATGTCAAGCATGCGGTCTGTGAAAGGTGATCACTGGAAGCAGAAAGTGTACTGATTATTTATTGGTTAAATATATTGGATTTTTGATATGAAATATTTCTGAGAATGTCGTAGTCTTTGTGGAAAGTGATTCTTGTCTGAGTACTGTATCATTTTGTAATTATGAAGCATTTTGAGGCAGTTTCGATTTGTGCATTAGTGTTTCTTATTTTGACAGGTTTGTCCTTTTTCTGGAGATGTGATTGCTGTCGCATTAATGCGGATTCAGGCAACTATCAAAACAAAGGGTTTAGCAAAGAGTCAGAGGTTTGTATGCATTTTTGTAATGTGACACATCTTAACATATTTATGCAATTTTTTAGTGAAAAATTTATCAATAGAAAATGTAATCAGTTTTGTAGATCCTATATAACTTTTAAGTGAAGATGTTAATTTAGTACAAGAAGGAGACAGGGAGTTAAGATGTGTGCATAGTGCAGTGTCCATAATTTCTGTAGAGAATAAGTATGCTCACGTCATTCTGATTCTTGAATATACGTAATTAACGTTCTGTATAAGCCTGTTGACACGGTGGAGTGTTATGTGCAATCCAGCAGCCTACCACGTTTTTCAAAATTCATCGGTTTGCAGCCATACTTCTGATGCCATATAACTTATACATCTGGTAAAGCACTGTTACATAAACAAGTGAACAGTCTTCCTAATTTAACGTTCATCTTTGGCACAGTATCATCACATTAAACACAGAACAAAAATGTGAGTTTAAAGGTATATGGTGTGTTAACCAAAAGTTACGACAATGTATTTATAAACAAACAACAGTTAAAGTGACCAAATTTTTCATCATGTCTCCTTTCAAGGTACTTCCCTTTTGAGTTAATATACTGACCTTAGCAGTTGTGCCATAATTTGCCTGTAATGCCGTTGCCTGGCGCAAATTTTGCTGAATTTCAATAACACCATGAAATCTGTTCCCGCTGGGGTTCATTTCCATCTTTGGAAATAAAGAAGTCTCACTTGCCTGTAATGCCGTTGCCTGGCACAAATTTTGCTGAATTTCCATAACACCATGAAATCTGTTCCTGCTGGGGTTCATTTCCATCTTTGGAAATGTCATCCTGAACCAACCAATCACAAAGTGAGGTTTCAGGTTCTCATGGCAGAACAACCCAAAAGACAGCCAGCCATCTTCAACCAATCTCCATTTCACTGTTTCTTAGACGTTTTACACTGGATGCCATAGTACATATTATAAATATTGATGATTTACAGTTCAATGTGGAGGGACAAATTCATGATGCACATCCAGATCACAGTCAACAAAATGATCAGCATGCTCTTGAAATTTAATCAAACTTCTCTTTGAATGTGACAGATGCAGAGATTTTTACTGTGATGATTGCTGTTTAGTTTTCAGATTGCACCTTTAAACTCAGGTTGTATTGTACCTAATTACATTTGACAAGAAATGTAGGCGATCTTTCACACGTTGAAGAAACATGACTCAAAATAAAACTTGATGCAAACTCTTTGTTCTTTTGAATTGCTTATTTAAATGCATACACATCATGATCAAACAGCTCCATGTATGAGACGGATGCAACATATAATCATGTATGCAAGGAAGACTACTCACAAAGCTGTACTCGGTCACCACGTATGTGGAAAAATCTTCACTGTTATCAGTGACGTTATGGGAACATTCCCATGAATTTTGATATCACGTAGAGATACAGGTTCAAAGTGAATTCAAGCTGAACTACCTTTTAGATTAGAATTCTAAATAGTTCACACAGTGAATTACCAGATCCATTGATTGTGTAGGCATCCAGTTAGCAGTATGGAGCGACAACAGTACCAAGGCAGTTGCAAGTTTGTGTGGAATGTGGATACGGGACATTACGCTGTGGTATGGACGCGGGCACTCCATGAGGTAGATCCCTGCGACACCATTGACATGGACCCGTGGAATCCAGCCCGAGACTTGGCTGTGAAACTCAGGGAGGATCTTCACAATGTTCCGACGTATCAGTCTGTGAAAACAATAACTAATGAATTAGTACTTAGAGGTAAGTTTGTTTTTTCTTTTACATTTTGTCCTAATTACCATTTAAGATTTCTGTCTTCTGGGTTGTTGCGCTGTGTAGTCTGGTCGAGGCAGTATGACCTCTGAAACGTTGGTTAACATCGACCAGACTACACAGCGCAACAACCCAGAAGACAGAAATATTCAGTTTTCATATATTAAAAATTACTTTAGTGTTATGAAACTTTGAGGTTATATCTGGCAACTGTACTAGTGAACACACTGCACTGAAATGGGTCAATAAATTGTTCTTGGTAGCCCCTTTGTATTGGCTGTGACATTTGAAGAATAATAGGCATCATAAATTCTTCAACAGAACTTTTTGTTTGCAGAAATTAAAGTGTAAGTTGCTCATGATTATTTTGTATAGACCTGTGTCTTCATTCTGTTGGCTGCAGTGCAATTACCATATTTTGATTATGTTCCCAAAGAACTGCTTCTCTTGTTTCAGGTGTTTCATTGGTGCGTATCAGTGACTTAGAAAACTTGACTGAATTGACTCTGTAAGAATGCGAAGTTGTAGCAGCACTAATTTGTAAGGATCGAGGCTTTGTTCCCTGTTCTCCGTCAGATAATTATAATTTTTAATTTCGACAGCAGGCAAGATATCGGTACAGGTTGTTCGGAATTAATTACTTCTGTGTTATAAAGTTTGTACAAAAGTTTATTTTTCATTTTTACAATGTTTGTAGCTCTTACTGCTTGTTTTTGGTATGAAAGATACAATCTTCTACTGATTTGTAAAGAAGGGCAGTAATGTTTGAATGTCACTCAAATACATAAGCATATCTATGCAAATTTAAAACATGCAGCATGGATACATTTGCAGTGTACTGTTGTACTTACTCATTTACTGTTGGTTTAATTGGTTCAGCATAAATAGCTGGGCCCGTGAGACCTACGGGTTCTTTATTGTGTACAGAGAAAAGATATTGACTTTTAAATAAAGCAGTGTTTGTAATTTTCAAGATTAAAGTGACTGAATTCTTTTTTTCATTTTTGGGTATGAGAGAATATGCAAATATGCACTTAATTCTGATTTAAGGTATGGCAGTGTTTTAGTGCATTCATAATTGTAATGCAGTAGGATATGGTATTTTGTGTAGCAAAGAATTTTTATAAGTAAAATTACTACTCCCAGACAGAATGGGATAACGCGGACAGTAGTAACTTCTGTCTTTGAGTGCAATCAATCTTGAGATTGGAAGAATTTTTATGAAAGCGGTGGCAGGCAGCCTTGTGTTCGCACATTCATATATATTCTTGTCATTACTAGAATTATTTTAGGTACGATGTTATTTGTTAAAAGAAACAAAACAGGCTTTGCCATATTGCTCTGAAATGATGAGCAATTGTTTTAGAACAATTTACAAGCTAGGAAGGATATTATGAATGGATTAGATATTATGACAAAATTAAATCATAATTCCCCTGCACAAATGTTATCAATAAGTATATGTGCATATAAGCCATATTTTTGGAATTGGTAAAGCATAATTTTATGTGGACAAAAGAAATTAAATTATCTTGATTCCTAGTAACCTGATTTATTTTTAATTCTTCACATCAACTTAAATATCAACACTACGTCCGTTTGTCTCATCAATATTCAGTCAGTATGATTTGAAATACTTCAGCCATTAAGTGATGCTACTGAAAATTTGTGTTATATTCAGTAAAATTCAGTCCTGCATTTTAACCTTTATCATATATCCCTATTCTACACGTCTTGCAGCTGGACTTTGAACTTCGGTGTTTTATAGTTCATTAATATGCCGCTGTGACACATGGCCAGCTGGATTGCACATATGCCATGATGCACAGCCATTAAAGGTTAATATCTTAAGATTATTCTCTGAGAATATAGTTCACACATTATCAGTTGTTTCGTTCTTATCGCTGTATGGATCACTGTCATTCAGGACTGTTGAAAAGCCTGATATATTTAATTTTTTATTTCAGTTCTCATGAAGCTATATTACATGCCAAGTTTTATTTGAATTGAGAATGTGTGCATTTATCTTTCCATATAAGATACTGCAGCATCTGAACATCAAGTCATGAAGATGGAAGAGGTGTGAAGATGAATTCCAAATTTTATAGTGTTAAGAATAATTCCTCTTTGCGGCATGCTTGTCGAGCATTGTCGTCATACGCGTAATTCCGAAGACCTGGTTTCGTTTCCAAGAAAAATATTCTGACTTTATGACACATCTAGAAACATGTTATGTAATAAAGCAGAATATGAGCAGAACACATTTTCTTGTAAATTTAAATGCCTGGGATCTCTCAGAAACATAAATTAGATAGTTAAGAAGCTTCCAGGAATAAAGGTGCCATTATTCAAATGCCAAAAATCAGCTTGCAGGTGATGTTGATTAATATTTACGTATTCTAATGGAAACAACAACAAAAGGCATTGTTCAGTTTGATGTCTGAAAGCCACCAGCATGGCTGCATCTTGACCATTCTTCATTTTAAATGTTATTTCTTGTAACATTTATTTTTTATGTTTGTTTTACGCAAGGGCTACAAGTAGGATGAACTGTTGTCAAAAGTGAAGGCTGTGGATTTAATTATTTTCATTGAAAACTCATCCTTAACTCTATTTAGTTAGATATGTCAGAGTTTAAATATACAAAGAAGTGCTCGTTTACGATGGAGGCCCTCTGTTATTATTCCATCGTATCTCGTCAAAAGTTTGATAATATCTGCTAATTTTTTAAAAATTTAACTCTTTCAATTTCCTCCTTCATACATTCTATGTTAGTAAGACTGTAAACATCTGGAGACAATTCAACTTTTGGTCTCATTTATATTGTCATTCCACAGTTCCTATTTAAACCAACATAATATACACTGCCCATGCTGCATATTTAGATCTGAAAATTGAAAATGATTAATATTATTATTACCATTTAACAAAAAACGAATCTCTTGTCAACATTCAGAATTATGTGAAATATGTACAGAATATTTTAGATGTATTCAGAGTAAAATTCATGCTTTTAATTATGTATTATTGTACCGAAATATTTACAATAGATCCTCCAAATTACTATGGTTGTACTTACAATCCAAAATTAATATTAATTAAAAGTTTGATATAACATTGTGATGAGATTCAGTGTGTTGAGACCATGTTTGATATTGTCATTTACGTGTATGTCATATTCACACTGTTTTAATAGTAAGATATAAGCTGCACTTTTGTCTGTAGATAATATGTTGGTGTTAATGTGATGGTTGTTATTAATTTCTCATGATATCTACACTCATATGCTAATCACTAATGTATGATTACAATAATTTATTTCAGTAATACAATAAAATACTATTATTATAATACAGTAGTGATTAGCATACTATCGTAATGGAAAGACTGGTTTTATTATCTACATTCTTCAAACTAAATCTTATATTCCATCATCACAGTCATTAGTCTTAAAATGGAATACACTTGTATCTTGAAATGTCAGACATACCTTCGACCAGTGTTCCGCAAACTTTTAAACTCACTGCACACCCTAATTTGTGTAAAACACGTGATGGCATACCAAAAAATTCCACCTCATTAAATGGGACTACAAAAACTATAAATGGCCATAGCTGTGTAACTATACAGGATGATTCAAAAGGTTAGGGCCAAACTTAAGGCGCATATAAAGGGACTCAGAGAGGACAACTTTTGAATAGGAATCCATGTCCTCCGAAGTTATCCTGAGTCAGCCGAGGCCATTGAAGGTAGGGAAGTCTGATAACATACCGCTGAAATAATTTGGTTTGTAAGATTGCTAATGTAATCTTCCCTACCTTCAATGGGCTCGACTGACTCAGGATAACTTCGGAGGGCATGGATTCCTATTCAAAAGTTGTTATCTCTGAGTCCCTCTATATGCTCCTTCTGTTTGGCCCTAACCTTTTGAATCACCCTGTATATAAATTAAATCCTTGTCCTATAGGAAGGCACAAACATTACACATGTTGAATGAAACTCGTTGATAAACTAGTGTGTGGGTCTGTGTATGTATTATGCATTCTACTTAACAAAAGATAAGATACTGCCTTTTTCTAATTATAATGTGTGAATATGCAGTTTCTTATAAAAATTTGCAGCACACTTGAAACCTTGTGGTGGCACGCCAGTTGCGGAACACTGCCTTAGATAGTGTCCAACAATATCTCAACAATTCATATATATTTTTGTAAATTTCAATGAAAGAAGAGCAGTGGAGAAGTTTTCTTGTTCTGATATTTTCTCTTTTGTTCAATTTTCTTTGATCAAGTGTACAGTTTATAAAATAAACGTATCATCATACTGAGGGATGATGCAGAAGCACAAAGCGAAATTCTTACGGAAACAAGTAACAACTTTGGTATCCAAGGTTGAGATGCGTAATTTATAAGCAAGATATTAGTTTTAGTATGAGAATTTATGTGTTGTGGATAGTCATCTGTGATACCTGTTATGGGAAATCAAGTATTTTTAGCATTTTTATGTGTTTAATGTTATATTACCAGAATCTTTTTTATGTTCTTTTTTTGATTTGGTAAACAATTATATATAGGAAACATGGTCTAAATTGATTGTAGTCAAGATGCCAGAAGTAGCATTGAAATATTTCTATTACAGCTTTTTTAAACTAGCATGATGTATTATTTTCTTCCCTCCTCTCCAATTTCCTCGATTTATAATTCAACAGACTATACTGCTGCAAGCTTGGTAGAACTGTTACAAGAATTCTATGGAATGGTTCCCGTAATTGAACTCAATTTTCTTTAAGTGCTTGTATGTAATACAAAGTACAGAGTACGTAAGCCAGGATGGCCCAGTCAGTAAACAGTCTGGTTAAAGATTCGTACTGTCATGTGAATCTTGGCAAAAGTCAGATTTGTATCTGTACAAACACATTTACACCAGTTACAGGGCCCACAAAGCCCACTGTCCAATGGACATCTGGCACATTTATCTCCATGGTTAATTGGGTTGACATGCATTGCTTTTTTTAATTTAAAAAAAGTTCACTTTTATTCAAAAGAAGCATTTTAGACAACGAAAAATACTGCGTATGTGGATTCCACCTGCAGTATGAAGCTGGCCGCTCGGTTGTGTCTATTGCTAAGATCAACAATACGTGGGGCTTTGGTCTAGTTGGTCCATCAGTCAGTCAATACTGTTAAATAGATACAATAAAAGTAAATATAAAGGTAAATGTACCTCTCTGATCAAGCACCACACTGTGAAATTGTATAGGGGGCATGGAGATAAAGCTCCCCATATTCTAGATTTTGATGCTAATGGGGACGAGTGATCAACTTCATTCTGAGGCTGTGATACCCATCGAATAGGAGACTGGATGTGAGGAGAAAAATCTTGAGTGCCCAAAGTCCTTAATCATTAGAACTGGTAATGTCTCAGTGCCCCCCTAACCTATTTTAATTTTAATGTTTGGTAATCTGGTAACATGTGATGTATAAATACATACTGCAATGTTTTGAAATAAATACTCTGTACTATAATACATTTAGAAAGGTATAATTTTCTGCTTCACCAAGCTGATTAGTGTTTCATCTTGTATGAGTTTTAGAGCTAAAGATTTTATAATTATTTCTTTAATGAACAAGATTTTAGCAGTGTGTACTCATATTTTTTAAGTATGTTTAGAATTTGTGTCATGAGATGTCATAATTAACCCTTTCCATACTGATGATAAGATAGTTTGCTCTAAAGTTCTGGCTTCTCTTCTCTGAACTTATTTGGTGTTTGAGAAAAGCAAAGAATGAATATTCCATCATATCTAAGTAGTTAGAGGTTACTATTCATGACTTTTCAACATCAGAGATTACATGTTCCTATTCAAATTAACTGCCAGAAGATAAAATTGTCCCTGGCGCATGAGGGAGTGGAGGGTATAGCTTCATGCTTCACCTGCTTTAGTCTTTTACTGACTGACCTGTTCAGTTCAATATAACAAAAAGAGGTTTCTTCAAACGAAAACCAGAGCGGAAAGTGTTGAGGATTTTGCAAGAGTTTAGTTTTGAAACAGACAGTGATTATATTTTCATAAGGCACTGCCATAATTAATCATCTTGGGCAGGTGTGTGGCCTTCTGCTGAAGCAAACCATAAATCTGAAAACACTGTGAGGAATTTGTTACACTCTGAACATTCTTGTGATTATTTCACAATGGTTCAAAGGCTGACTGAATTCAAGTGACTAGGTTAGTGACTGTCAGCTTCTGAAGGACTGATCCACAGAGTTTAACTTAGTAATAGGTCCAGTGTAGTGTCTACATCAAGCTCAAATGGAACTATTTTCTCAGGAATAGCTAAATGCAAAAAAAGGGGTACATGACATTAAATACAGATGTGATTACATGTTGTAATTTTTGTCTTAAAAATGTGTTGATGCAGCGCGTGCTTAATGATTAGTTTTTTCAACAATAAAATTTATTTGTAATAAGATGGATGCATATATTACTGTCTGTTTACAATTGGTTTATATTTCCAATAAAAGGATATCATGAATGAGGTATGAAAAATCATGATAAACATACTTGAAAAATGTGTAAGCTTACTTGTTAAGAGTACAAAATTGTTAAACGTGTAATGGCTTTTATTTTACTTCCTTGCCTAATGTCAGTGGCAGAGATAGCTTCTTGGTAAACCTAACTTTGCAATTTTTACCTTTTTAATTTGTTGTTAATGAACATAAATTTCTTATGACAAAATTGTACAAAGTCTCTAATCTCTTCCTAATTTGTGTGTGAATTACTGATGAAGAATGTACTGAATCAGTGAGTGGGACACTTTATACATAATTTATTTACATAAATATGACACAAATTATTGCGTATATTTTATCTCTGTACTAATATCTCTTTTTCAAACTAACTCACATTTGAAGAGTTATATTGAACATTTGCCTAAAATCATGCTGGTGATTAATAATGCAAATCCTTTGAAAATTCAGATGTGTTGAATAACTACAGTAAATCGAATGGATGTCGTACGGTGATGTGCGTGTGTATGTATGTGTGTGTGTGGCCAATTTGTGGTGGTACGGGTAAATAAAATAGGGGCTTATGGATTTATGTTGCATATAACATTTTATTCTGTAATTGTTACAAATATCTCTCTAGTGGAAACAAATGATTTATCAAGAATTAAAATTGGTAGGTAGAAATTTGTAGGGAGTAGTTTATGAAGTACAGTGAATATAATAATTAAACAGATATATTAATTTAAAATTGAGTTACTGGCAGATACTAGTAATAGCCAGAGTTCAGTCTGATCTTTTATTGAAACTCAGATTTTTTAGTACAATACTCTATCTTTTAGAGCATTTGCAAAATACATGGAAGCTATAATTTCCTGAATTTGTACAGATGAAAGCTGAATATAAGGTATTTTGTTCTTACATTTTAACCCAATAGAAGGAGCAAACAGCATATTGAACTTATTGGTCCTTCTACATTTTTCCATCTTCTCATCACTCAAAACATCCACTGTTTGAAACAAGTGTTACTTCCAATGTTTCATTTTATTTCAGTAGTTCCTCTGTTTTAACTCATTTATTTTATATTTTTTTATGTTGGCACATTGAGATTCATAAGGTATAAGCCCTGCATAAACATTAAAAAATAATTATGTTGAATAATGAAAGCAAGGTAGTTTTATTAAAGTACCTTAATTTGTAACAACAGTTTCAAAATATGCATATGAAACATAAATCCAAGATGGCAACAGATTTTGCCATCTCTTGAACAAAGCCTTATTCCTTGAATATTTTGAAACATGACTTTTTTAATGGTGCCAAGACTGAGTTTAATGTTTGTATTGTTAGAAATGGATTATCATTTTTAGGAGATGTGAATAGTTTGTATGTATGACTGTTTTATTTTGTAGAGATGTAGGTTTTTTTTAAAAAAATTCTGTAATTGTTCAATTTGACTTTCAAGCAATATTAAAGTAAATGTGCGGTTGTACGGTTGGATAATATAATCAAATTGGCCTCTTTATCTTCATTTGCTTCAAGCTTAATTGCCAGATTAAAATGAATTGTAAATGTGAAACATAAATTTCAAATTAGTGATGTTGGTCTTAATTGAATTTTATTGTACAAGCCCTGACACACCCTTCCCTTTCCACATACGCATTACTGCTGACCTATCAAATGTTGTCACTGTCAGATTCAATAGGTATCCAGTTAAAATCCTAATTGGTGACTGGCTAGCCAAACTCCATGAAGCAAGGTCTTTCTTTAACACCTTATACATTTTTCATCTGATCAAGAAATTTCCTGCTTTTATAAAGTTGAAGGTTCATTGATGTTCATTCACAGTTCCTTTGAGCCGTCGCTATCCAAAAAAACAATCCAGTAACATCACTGCTTGTGATGTGGTCACCTTTCTAATCTCATATTTATGTCAGCTATTGCAGTTCCTTTTATAGGCTGACTTCTATTGATATAAAGTCTGTCTTTGCACTGTACCTTCTACTACAATAATTAATTAAAAATGAGCTGAGAAGCCAAAAAAAATGATGCTGAAGCTGGTGTGGTAATGTATTATAGGGTGATTACCTTAACTGCTGGGTAGAAATCTAGGGAGGTTAAGGAACAAATATGAAAATATATAAAATATAAACATCCATAAGTAGGAAAATGCAGAGAAAGTCCAGCATAATAAATTCTAAATATTCTAATGGCTATGGCTAGTGGACTTACTTATCAGCACATATACTGTTGTGAAAAAAAAAATTGTTTGAACTAACCTTTATTGGAATTCATAGCAGTACTGCAAACAGATATGTAAATTCACTGTCTTTTTAAGTATCAGCACACTATACACTGAAAACTAATACATAATTAAAGCACTTTCAACAATATGAATAAAGACAACCAACACAGCCAGCTTGGGCAGCAGACAGATTTATTGCCAACTGCCTGAAAAAAAATCAGCATTAAAACCTGTTACAAAGAGAATGTTCTAAGTTACCTGACTACAAAGAATGTCATCATTTATTTAAACATCACTACATTCTACTAATAAGACGATATTATAAGTATTTTACTGGCATTAAAACCTATAAAGTAACCAATGAGATATTAAATTACAACTGAACTTGTAAGATATATTAACTTAACAAGTAGTAAGCCAGTAATGCCACTCTTGCACAAAATACTAATGTCACTGATGATTAACATTCTTAATTTTCTACTTCAGTCAGATGTGTTACTAATTCACATGGAAATAAGATATTTTCACAGGTACTTGCTTCTAAGAAAAAGTAATTTTGCACAGTACATACCCCACTTATTTATGATCAAAATCACAAGTCAGAAATTCATGCTGCATATGTATTTTATGGTGTCGCTGTTCAATATACATTTTTCCAGCACTTATGCTTAATTCTTACTATCTGTGATGTTAATGTTCTTTCACAGATAAATTCTAGGAAGCAGAGTATGAAAAGGAATTATACAAACACAAAATTATAAAATACTGAAGCACACCATTTTCCAATAAATTTATTATTTTCCTTTTCATTTCAACATTAAAATGTTTCCATTTATTACAGGTAATTTTCTGTTAGTTCTCACTACATTCTCATTCACAGGCCAGGAGAAATATTTAATTGAATCAATGTGTCGAAAATTTAAATGCATTGTGCCATGAAGATGTATGGAGGTTAAAAGTATAGCACCATTCATTCCTGATACTAGATACAGGTGAATGGTCACTTTCAAGCACCAGCTGTTTTAACTCATAAAGATGGCTGTCTTGTGGGTTATTGTTGAAGATTACTTTTACCGGACTACACGGTGCAACAACCCAGAAGACAGCCATCTTCAGAATCACCGCTGTGAAAACCTCAAATCCTACTTTACCTCCTAGGGAAATAGCCCCCCAGTACAGCTGGTCTGCACGTACTACAGAAACAAATCACTTTCCATGCAGGGAATCAAACAGCAGTCATCCAGCCCATGGCTAGTCAGTCATAAGCTATCCTGCTTTCTGAATTTAGATGTTACTATATTAATACCCCTGACAAAACAATCTGAACAGATCTTTCAGCGTATTATTATGGGTTTAAGCACCAGATTTGCCAGCCGCAGTGGCCACACAGTCTGAGGCATGGACCTCGTGCGCCTGGCTGCTGGGACCGTGGGTTCGAGTCCCACTCAAGGCACGGATGTTTGTCCGCATCCTTTCTCTTCCAGTCTGATGGATAAAGATTAGCCTCAGAAGGCAAGGTGAAACCCGTGGTACCTTGGCAAGAAAACCCCGTAATGGGGGGTCACCAAATTTCAACATTGAAGGTAGCATATTAAAAAAAAACACCAGATTTATCCTAAATTACTTATATCTGTCAAGAAATACTCCAAAATATGTTCAAAGTTCCATTTTCAGGGCAACCTAGGAGTTCAGCGGGATACAGGGCATAGCACTTGCCAACACAGGTATTTAAAAATATAAGAGATACTGAATAACAGGTAAGAAAGATAAATACACTGAGCAAAACAGAGGATTTCTGACTGTTGAAGCAAGTGGTACATATAATTACCATCAGGTTTTAAGGCATAAATAGATATCTTTGATTAACCTTTAGAATATGACACTTTTTATAACATACACCTTTCAAATATTACTTGAAATATGCAAATAATAAATAATTCACCTCAAGTTGTTCGTCTCTACCGACCGAAGCCAAAGCTCTCTTATGACAAACCAGTCACTGCAAAATGAAAATACATGTGAACTCCACTTCTTCAGATTCTGTATGTCACTATAACTTAAGCTAGACGCTCAAAAATGCTACTGTATTCACATATCCTGTGTGTCAAGTGTTCACATCTGCGTACAGCAATTAACCACTACTCTGCCATATGCAGAAAGACACTGAAAATGCATACAACCATGGTACAAATCATATTACATGTAACACTTATCTACATCTAAATAGCTGGAACACTTTGAAAATAACAAATTTAGAAGACAATGAGAAGTCTTAACAATGCAATGGGGTATGACTGTGTGTCTGTGTAACTGCGGCCTCTAACGGGCCCTTTGACCATCCCCCAAATAACACTAGTGGAATACCATCGGGGTAAAACCAAAGAATGTAGAGAAACATCTGCCCAGTGGCACTTTCTTCACAAATCGTCGGAAGTGAACCCAGGCCTCTGCAGCGAGAAACCAGCAACTAATCCAGTGTTCTATGGCACTGTTTTATACAACAATATACCAGTATGTTTATGTGGATACCAGTTGTTCTACCATAAATGAACCTGCCTTAATTACGGTGTTTAAATATGGCTACCTATTTTACTTGTTGATTTGGCCTTCATTTTCAAATTTTAAACCACTAGCTTTCAGTCACACTTTATTAACACTGGCAATGACAAAAAAAATGTTATCTCAAGATTGAATTATAAAGAATCTTCCAGACTTATACAATGATAGTGCCTGTAACACATTCCACATTAAAATACAGCACTGGAGCCTTGAAAAATCTGTTACAATAAGTACACATCTCCTTTGGAGCACAATTTACACATTCTAATTTAAGTTTAACTGCTGTAATACTGGATAAATGCTACACATGAGATATATTAAATATCTAATGCTCAGCTGGAATTCTAGTTAATTAGTATGCAAGAGTAAACGAAAAACAGTCTCTTTGTAACAAAAAAGTTAACTGCTTACAAACTTAAGTGATATATGCAAGTGAGATTTCAGTGATGTATAGTTTTTGAGTATATGTTGAGAGTCGTGATGTTACTTATTTTGTTAATATCAGCGAAATTACTTTAAAATAGCCATATCTGAAGGCCCCAAACCTATCAGCTATTTAATATCAGTTTAGATTTTCCTTGTGAATATAAGTATAAAGAACTGAATACAGGTTAAAATGTATTACGTATTAAAGAGAATAAAACTCATATAGTAATTAGTAATTTAAGTTCTACAACTCCACATGCTACATTTTTCACTGCTAGCTGCCAACATTTTAAATTTTACAACACAAACAGCCCTGAATACAACTGACAACAAATTATTTTGATACGAAGCTTATCAGCAATGTCTGTCCTTTTTCACCATTATCTTTGTTATATTTTTATATATTCCCATCTTCAGCCCCTGATGAAGGTGCTTATGTACCTCAGCTGTTTTAAAATCCTGAAAACGTATCACCAGAACAAGTGTAACTTCACAATATTTTAGTTTTGAAGACACAGTTACAGTTAATTACTTAAAAAACTGAAAACATGTCACAAAATAGTTGTAGTTTACAGCAATGCGTCTTTGCTTTCAGAAATGGTCTGGAAATGAGGTCAATACTACATACTACATGTAACTAAATATTACATCATCATCAACTGTTCCTTTTTAATGTACCACATTACAAAAGAACATGTCTGTCTTTCCATCCTACATATATAATCAGCACAGTAGGAGTAACAAGTTGATGGCAGATATACAGGTAGAAGAATATGAATATCACCATTATATATTGCACAGAATATTTTGCTTGCACAGGAATAAGACCTCAGGTACTTTTGACACACACTGCATCAGCTGTAATTATAAATGATCCTTGAATAAACATTAGACTTACAGCGTATCCAATACATCAATATCTATAATACCAAATACAACTAATATAAAAACTAAACAAACTTGGGTTTAGTTGATGTGGAATGTTGGTTGCAGTCTGGAATATTAACTACATGAGGAATGCACCGATTTTAAACATCTGGAATTACTGAATTAGGTTTAAGGTTTTTAGTTGTGTAAATATTACTCTTTAAGTTTATCTGTTTGCTAACTCCACTTACCATGAAGTTTAAATGATAGTACTCTTGCTACACATATTTTTAATTTAAATTATATTAAAAGCTGTCCCACTATACGCCATGCGGGCGCTTGGGGGAGAAGTAGTATAGCTGCTACTCATTCTTAACCTCGGCACTAGATGGGGGTGAGTGTTTAGCATGATGCCCCGGCCGCACAACCAGTGTGGATGCAGAGGCTAGAGGAAAAATCCTCTGCCACCATCAGGGATTGAACTCCAGTCATCCAGTCCATAGCCAGTCACTATACTGACTGAGCTACACTGGCTCATTTAAATTATATTAATCTTCAGATTATATGCTTACTAACATCACTTACTGAGAAGTTTAAATGATACTACTCTTCACTTTACCTCTTTGCTAACTGCACTTGGCATGAATTTTAAATTATTATGCTTTTTAGCTTATATGCTTCCTGGCTAATAACTGAACAATTACACGAGCCTCTAACGTAACTCAGCAGCATCAGCTAATACTGCCTAATAACTCTGACAGCTTTGTTTGATTGGGAGGCAGATCAAATATTTGTGTTAATTAAAAAGTAGTACAGTACGAACACACCAACCAACCAACAAATTCTTTGTAACAACATTGAAATTACACATCTAAAATGGCTGAAACAAACATCATCACTTCGTATGAGTGGGAGAACAATCAGATATTTACAGTGCTATGTTACAAATACATCAATCAAAGATCTTGTATAACTCAAATAGAGACTTTACATACCATATTTCCTTGATTTTAAGACACAGTTTTTTCACATTTTAAAATTCCTGAAATCTGGGTGCATCTTAAATTTGATGGCATCTAATAATCGATACATATATTTTGCTGAAAACCTATTACTAAATAAATAGTGTATCTTACAACTGATAGTATCTTAAAATGGAGGAATTACAGCATGTAAAAATGATGAAAACAAATGTCACAAGTAGCTTGCCTATTCATAAAACTGCAAACTACTTTAGAAATGCCATACCCATCTCCAAGTAATAACTAAATACAAGATAATGTGCCTTAAATCCTGTGTAATAGCTTGTTTATTTTACATAGAAATATGTTTCACTTACAGCCTGAACTGTGACACACATTTTATGGCATTCCACATCAGAAAGTCAGATTGTGAGAGCCAAAACCTGACACACTTTTACACATTCACAAAGCAGAATAAGGAATCGAACAAACTAAATACATCTTATTTCTACACTCACCTAGGAATGTTCTATAAAACTTATATGACTTTCATTCAAATTTGTAAAGATGTTCACTTTTACCACTTTCTCTAAAAAGAAATTTTTCTTTGCCTCACCTAGTATATAAATAAAGGATAAACATAAAGTTTATGAAGTCAATCATAATTTGCAACACATAACAAACAACAATCAATTATATATAAATAACAAATGGTAGTCACAGAGACAAAACCAGTATCCATTTTCTTGTCACTAAACTATATTATTTACATACAATTAAATTTGGTTCTGAAATTGTTACTGATACAAATAACAAGAAATAATTATATCACCTCCCTTCTGCATATTCATAAATTTCAAGACATTATAATGAAATCCATTGAAGTATTACTCATGCAAATGGAATTTTACATCTGAGTGGCGTGACCAGGCAGCTAGCTAGATACTTGCAGTTCAGACTTGCTGTTTGATGAGAATGAAGTGTCTACACCCTTCAAATTTGGAAGTACCTCTTCCCATGCTGTAAGGCACTATAAAGAAAAAAACACTCTACAAATTTAACCAGGGCTTCAGCAACCACACCAAAATCTGCTCTGAACCTCCAAAGCATAATAATTATCAATATTATTATCACCTCTCAAAATTGACATAAAGAAACATATTTTGAAAAACTCAATATAAAACAATCATGTTAAAAATACTACCACTCTACTGCTGATGAATAAAATTGTGTTGGAAATGTTCTGCCAACATAACAACGTAAACGGAAAAAAAATACAAAAAAGATGATTTTCATCGTACCTGCTCATAATATTTAATTTGCTGATTAGCTAGTGCCACAAACAACTTCTTCAGGTCAGCCTTCTTTTCGTGATGCCAACGATCTAAATCAGCCCTCAAGTTCTCGTTAGCACATTCCATTTTATCCTGATTTTCCTATAAAAACAAATAAATATTAGAAATTTTCTAGTTGTTACAAATATCATATTTACTTTTGTAATTTCTTGCACAATTTCCCCACTATTTTTAACATCATAAGTAGGTGGGAAGAAGGGGGGGGGCACAATGTACTCATTATTTTTCTAACAGGTACTTGATGTTATAAAAGCCTTTAAACCCCAATTACTTATATACTTATTTGTAGTTTATTTAATGATGTGGCCAATAATTCACACTACAAAGTTTCAAATGATAAGATGATTAATGAATAACAGATTTTCGAAAGGATATGGAAGCAGTCATGGCCCCATTTGAATAAGAATATGAATGCTCACAGGCTAACAACAATTCCTTCAGTACACTCATATGACAAAAGCCTCTCATATTCTCTGCATTCTACATTTAAAAACCGTTGAATCTATGCTACACAATCTCATACCGCCATTTGGTTGAAGGCTACCCATTCAGGCATATCTGACATACATTTTAGGAATTTTATCTACATAAAATACAAATTAAGCAGTTACATATTCGTTTCAGACATTCACTAAAAACAATAAATAACCACTGAGATTTTAGTTTCTTACAGCAGTGAGTATGAAGGGGCTATCTTCTGGTTGATGCACCATGTAAACTGGTAGATGTTTATTGACATTTCAGAGGTGCCTGCTACCTCCATTACCAGGGCGACCACCCTGATGATGATGAATCCATTAATTATTCTCAAATGTCCCAAAAAACACCTTACTGGATCAGAATATACCTTATCATAAAGATCAGTTTAAGTTTTCCATAGGTTAATGAAAGGCTTTTTTTGTCATCAGTCTTTCGACTGGTTTGATGCGGTCCTCCATTTTTGCCTATCTTGCGCCAATCTCTTCATTTCCGCATATTTTTTGCAGCCCACATCCTCAAAAATCGGTGTCACATATTCCAATCATTGTCTCCCCCTACAATTCTTCCCTTCAACTGTTCCTTCCATTACTAAATTAACCAATCCTGGGTGCCTCAGAACGTGTCCCACCATCCTATCTCTTCTTCTCATAAGATTTCTTTCCATAGACTTCTTCCTTCGCCTATCCTGTCTAAGACCAGGTCATTTCGTACTTTATCAGTCCACTTAATTTTCAACATTTCAAATGCTTCTATCCTCCTTCTTCTTCGCTTTCCCACTGTCCATGTTTCGCTTCCGTATAGCGCTGTGCTCCAAACATATAACTTCAGAAAAATCTTTACGCTTTACTAGGCTTTAATGGGATGAAAAGATGATTATGTAGAGTGAACTGGGACAGTAAGAGAAAGAAAAAGGTCATAAACTTTCAGTTACAAAAAAGGAATCTGCCCAGAGGAACTGAACATAAAACACACAATAAGCATCTCGAGTTTAAAATATCTGCAACTGACCTCCACTTGCTTTACTAGCTGCGGTATGGCTTGTGCTAACTTCTGTAGTTTGTCGTCTCTCATTTCTCCACCACTCTTCCACAGAGTGGCTCCTCCAAGGCTGAAACCCCCACTGCCAGATGTTTGCTCTTCTGCCAGCAACTGCTCATAACAAAATTTATGCCAGAATTCCTAAATATTACACATTCACCTTTCATCAATTAATTTTTCAATCAATAACATTAACTTGACTCTGACTTGAGACTACAGTTTCTGATAGTGGTAACGATGTAGAATGTGATCCCACAATTCTCAGGAATATAATTCCAATGCGAAAACCAAATTTTTTGCGACCCTTGCAGGAATGTTGTTCCCAACCCACAAACAGCTCCGAGGACCGACTGGTAAGGAGGTTTATCAGAGCCAATTTAGATGTGGTGTTGGTAAGAAAATCCTCTGTCTCATTTCTGAATTCATTACTGATAATATTAAATCAATTACTTTACAGACATAAATAATTATTTTAATTTAAATTTATTATAACAGATACAATTAAATACCATATACCATATACAACTACATTTTGAAAACTGTACTTTAAGCGTTCATGAGCCGGGATAGCTCAGTCAGTATAGTGACTAGCTACGGGCTGGACGACCGGGATTCGATCCCCGACGGGGGCAGAGGATTTTTCCTCTAGCCTCTGCGTCCAGACCGGCTCTGGGGCCCACCCAGCCTCCTCTAAAATGGGTACCGGGGTCCTTTCCCGGGGGTAAAGCCGGCCGGGGCGTGATGCTGACCACTCACCCCCATCTAGTGCCGAGGTCAAGGAAGGGAGGAGCTATACCTCCTCTCACCCCAAACGCCTACATGGCGTAGAGTGGGACAAACTTTACTTTTTACTTTAAGCGTTCAGTCACTACATTCAGTGTCATCATCTTTGGCATTGCTCTCGAAACGTTAGCGGAAGATATGGTTTATTCGCCATTCGGCCAAATGACGCGGCTTGTAACCCGAGAGTCTTTCACCAATATTCCATATAAACTTACCACATCTTTCTCTGCTCTCTTCTTCTTCAATTCTTCTACGGTAAGTTCATATTCAATTTGAACTGAATCACGGCGATTTAGGGCTTCCTTCACTGCTTCGATATAAAGCACATACTCCTTCAGAGGCTTTGAAATTGAAGAGTAAAACACGTGTAATTACTACTAATAAATGGAAAATATTTATTGTGCAAATGGAAATTAAGAACAAGTTTTTAGCAGAAAATAGTCTGCTTACATAATTACTATCTTCTGTTCATATAATTTTGTTTTACACTGTTTCCTTGGCATTTATCTTGACGTAAATAGGGAAAAATTAATTCTGACTGTCGATATAATATGTGCATACTTTTATGAAGAGAGAGAGAGGAAAGACAGAAGAAAAAAACAAACAAAGGAAAACCGAAAATCAGCAATGTATGATACGTAACACACATTTTTTAAATAACTAAATAACATATGCAGTCTACAATATTTTGTGAATACAGTTAAGACTTGTGTTAAGCAGATATCTGTCTTAAACAGAAAGCATTCAGGTCCCTTTGAATTCGCATTATAAGAAACTTTATTATACATAGATCAATCCATTATCTGTCGATGTACGCAATCTGAAACAAAATGGCGCATTTACCTGGGCTATGTCAGGAGTGTATGTAACGAGAACATTTTGCTGCGCTTGTGCATTGTGTTCTATCGCAGCAGCCATGGCCAGTAACACCGGGCTGAGTTCAGGCTCTGACGCAGACCAAAGCGTGAAGATCGGATGCATCTGGTGCAACTCATGCAAGTAATCTGGAAAGGTAAAGCCAGTGACGGCGTGGAAATTATCTGAAGGTACAACATACGGAACCCTAAGGACATATTTTAAAGCATATATCTGGTGTGAGGAAATGATAATCTTCAGGTCAGATGGAACAATCACCACCACTGGTATGGGACTAGTAAGCGACAGCAGTGAATGGACAGAAGTGGAATTTTGCCACAAAATTACCAATGTCACAGTCAAGTGGTTAGAACTCCTGCTTCACACTTACAAATTCCAGGGTTCAAATCTTGGCCTGGATGAGGTTTGTCAAGGTTTTCCTCTGTGCCTCCAATGAAATTCCAGGATAGTATTTTAAATTATGACACAATCACTTACTTCCATATTCTTTCCATGTCATTAATTTTTCATCATTCTATCATTCAACACTATGTCGTTTGAGCTCCTGACAGCATAATTAAATAAAGAACAAATAAATAAATAAAACTATTACAAATTAAACAATGAAACCAATCAAAATCAATTAAATGACTCTTAGTCCTCTCTAATATTATTACGTTATCATATTATATAACATGGTAATCCACCTACAGTTGTGCTTTTGACATTGTCTCATTGTCTTCCATGAAACATGAAGACAATGCAAAAAGTTTGAGTGAGGAATCAAAATGGAAAGACCCTGTGAGGCGGATAACAAATGAGAGTACGGAAAGGGAGGGTGCAGGTATGAGAGGAATGTTTATAGGACAACCGGGAGTAAAGGAGATAACAAATGAGAGTATGGAAAGGGAGGGTGCAGGTAAGAGAGAAATGTTTATAGGACAACCGGGAGTAAAGAAGGTTTTGTCATAAGACAACCCACTCCAAAATATTTTTCACAAATGCATGGAACTTCAAGTTGGCCGTAACAGAATGAAATCAAATAACTGAAGACACAGACAGGCGGTAACAAAGGCTTTTGGTGATGACTACGATGATAAAGATGAGTATCATACCTACAAGTGTTGTAATCCACTGCATTTAATTAAAAAATATTATTTGATTAATTTTTTCTTCCAGTAATTCATTAACAGACACTCATGAAATTAAATGAGCATTTATAACCATCTTAAGAATCCGCAGCCTCATGTTCGGTGTGTTAATGACGACGCAACATTCTCTCACCTTTCAGCTCTTACCGAATTCTTAAATGAAAAACAATATTTGAAGATGAAAGAAAGTGAATCATTTCTACACACACCTTGCCTCTCTTTGTGGATTCGCTGGCTAACCCTTTCCACACTGCTCAGTTTCTCTCCAAGTGTGGTCACATATTCACGGACCTGCTCAAACTCTTGCGCGCGCTGCCGCATCATGTACACTGCAGCCAGATTGTGGAAAGACGTGGACATTCGACCAAGTATACCTTGACGACTCTTACGGTGAATTGAGAATTCCTTCCGCAAACACAAATGATTTCAATATAAATTAAGAATATGACTTGAGAATAACATTGAGTCCTACCGAAGCAATGTTAAAAAATGTTAACTTACTGGCATATTATTCAGACACAAATCACAAGTATACTTCAAAATAAATGTCTCAAAAGTGCCCAGAACATACCACATCAGTTTAACGCATCTTTGGCCCAATACGTAAACTATTTTGAATTTCACTAGGTGATATTTCACAGCCATTTAATAGCTAACGTATAGTATCCAGTATATCGATATTCCCAACACTTTCGTTTCCAAAGAAATTTTGCTACTTGCATTTCTTTTGCGTGAAGTACGTCATGGAGATATTAAGTGTGATGACTGTGACAGACAATATTAAAATTCCAAACTTGCAACTTACTGATGGTTTAGCAGTGAGAAAGATCTTCACACTTTGGTTACAGCTTAGCACAGGATGATTAGCTACACGATTCAGGAATCGATGAAGCAAAGCCATTCGTGCCATGATGAACTCTTTGGAATAACGATCCAGCTGAGCAAGAAGCGTGTGTTTTCCAGGCAATGGCTGGAAGAGTTTACATAATTTGCAATGTGTTAATGGTGACACACTGGTGATCCTGTAAACATTAGTTAGGGGTTCCAAACATTCCTTCACCTTCCATATTTTTATTCACTCAAATATACAGAAAAGGACAGGGACTTCCTTAAGATCTGGCAGGGAGTTAAAGGTGAGACAGACATCCAGACAACTGGTCTGCTATGTGATAAAGAATTATAGAACTGTAAACATATGCACAATAGCCTGCTCAACTGTGCACATGTACATGACGGCATAAAGCATGCACACATATGATGGAAAGGGGCTATGTATTACTCACTGGAATGAGATGTGTTGGAAATGCATCGACCAGCTTCTGACGGAGCCAAATAAAGTCATTATAGCGTCTTCGAACAACATACTCAGTTTCATCAAACTCAGCACGAGAGGTCTGAAAATGAAAAACCGTATATTTTCAGATTCCACATCTTCACTAAAAGATCAACAAAATTTAACAAATTATCATATTGTGTTGTGACAGTCCCCATACATATGAATAATAAAACAGTTGTATTTCATTACCCTTGTTGTAATTCGAAATGTAATGTATGTCTCAAGAGTGTCAAGATGTTTTTGTGGATTGTCAACTTTTACTTGAAGGTCTCGCGTATCCAAACCAAATTCTGACATTTCTTGGTCAGGGAGAGTGGAGAAACTTTCTATTGATGGCGAAGCCACCTGAAATTTGAAAATGAATGTTAAGAATAGCAATCATGCCGTAAAATGTGAGTCTTACATAGCTACAAGTATACCATGATAGTAAAGTCGTGCTTCGAGTAACTCAACAGGTGAAGACATTGGTATTACCACAGATCCCTCCAGTGATGTGCTGTAATTTGACATTATGTCCGTGTCTTTACTGTCTTGCTTCTTTAATAATGTAGACTTGCATTCGGAAGAAACTTCTAAGACAGCAGTGTCCTCGGAATCCGCCATTTTTCGTATTATAATTATTCACATTCACCACCTAAAACCCAACGATAATGAAACACTTTCGAAAGTTAAAGAAATATACAACCTACAATGCCTAAACGTAAAAGCGTAGTAAACAAAAAATATCCAATCAGAATATACTATGAGATACTTTGTGACAGGGACTCCGCCCACTAAGGACATAACAAGAATAGTTATTCCAGCTGTAATCTCTGTGGTAAACACTGCATCTCAATTACATCCTATGATGTCGCTGCTTATATCTTCTTTCATTTGTTTCCGAAAATAGGGTTATGGTACATCAAAATGGTTGATTGTTATGCGATGTCAGACCGGTAATGTGATAAATTTTATGTACTGTAAGTGTTTGGTTTTGAAAATGGACAAAGAAATGACACTAGACGAAGATTTTAGACTGGATGATGAAGAAATCAACTCTGGGATTTTTAGTGATCTGGAGCCTGTGACTTGGTTAAACGAAGACGATACAGAGGTTAACATGTTCTTTCACAGAGTGGATTCAGATCAAATTATTTATCAAACAAAAAAGAAAAAATGCAAAATGATAGGGAAATATGTAATGGGGGATCTGTTGGGAGAGGGTAGTTATGGTAAAGTGAAGGAAATGTTAGACTCTGAAACACTCTGTAGGAGGGCTGTAAAAATTCTGAAGAAGAGAAAGCTTAGGAGGATACCCAATGGTGAACAGAATGTTCAGAGGTAAACAACGCCAATTAACTATGTAATCTAACCATTATTAGTGTTAGCAATAGTTTATCATATACTTAAATTGTGTACTTTATTAATACAATTTAATCATGAACCTCCAACCAGAAAAACAACACACTTACTACACAAGTCAACACACACAACAGTTAATCTTTTGTAGATGATTATAAACTTTCATCCTGTGATGTCACTAGTAAATAATTCTGTAGCATGCACATTTTGCCTCATGAACAATTTGAAAGTGCATGAGATTGGTGGGGGTCCGCAGTGGCCGTGCTGTCTCAGGCGTGGGCCTTGTGCCGCTTGGTCGCTGGGACCGTGGGTTCGAATCCCACTCAAGCCATGGATGGTTGTGCTCGTTTTTCTGTGTTGTGCTGTCCTGTGTACAGGTAGAGGCCTTGCGACGGGCCGATCCCTCGTCCAAGGAGTCCTACCAACTGTCTATAGAACAAGCCAACGAAAAGTTGGGACCCGCAGTGCTCAGGCACTTGAAGAACGGTTCGTTCACAGTATCCCAGTATGAGATTGGTATATGATTAATATATTTCTGAAACTTTCTCGATGAAGTTGTATTCAGAATTCTGATTTTACCTTTAAGTATGATATTTCACACATGGAATTTTCATGATGTATCTTGACTTATTAGGTCTTTAATTTAAATGTAGCTGTTTTCACAAACAGAAACAGGTACCATATTATTAACAGATGTAACAGACCATTACCTCCAATTTATATTATATGTTGTCAAATCTTTCCCAGACGGAAATTTTGTTTGTACATGAAGCATTGCAATGCAAGAAATGTGTGGTATACAAATATCTGTTAGATTTCTATATGTCTTCAGCTTATTATACTTCTGTTGTGTTTAAAGTATAGCCTCTTATGCTGTGTTACTGTTTTTAGGGAGATCCAACTTCTTAAAATATTGAAACACAAGAACGTGATAGGACTTGTTGATGTTTTATGTAATGAAGAAAAGCAGAAAATGTACATGGTTTTAGAGTATTGTGTTGGAGGTCTCCAGGACATGTTAGAGAGTACACCAAAAAAGAAATTTCCACTTTGGCAAGCTCATGGGTATGTTCATTTTTGTAATATAGAAATTTCTAAAAAGGATTTTTTTCATATCTCTTATTTAGGTAGCATATCATCAGTCGTGTTATCCTTTTAAGATTAATTAACGGTGTTTAGAGAATGTTTGCCAAAATGTTGGTTGACATGAAACATGATGCAGCTCTCACCCAAAAATCAGTGTTATACATTCAACTTCAGCCATGAAAACCTATGGACAAGAAATAAATGTTTGCTCTGAGATTCATGCGTAACCTGTGAATATACTATGTTTGCAAAATGAAGAGTTGCTGATTATTAAAGCAGGTGATACGTATAGTTACCATTGGACTTTAAAGGGTTATTTGTATATATAAGAGAATGGTTATATTCTAAATTGTTAATATGGCTTATACATGTTGGACTTATATTTCATCATCAGGTACTTCTGTCAGTTGGTTGATGGCCTGGAATATCTCCACAGTAAAGGAATTATTCACAAAGATATTAAACCAGGAAACCTTCTCCTTACACTTGATGGCACATTGAAAATTTCAGACCTTGGGGTTGCAGAGGTAAGATCTGAAATAATAAGAAGCTGAAGTTTATCTAAATAATATATAAAAATTCAGTCCCTACCTCAAAGAAAACACAACATATATCTTTTACAATGATAAATTGGTTAATGCTGTTTGTGAAATACTGCTGTTAAAGCATGCTGTACATGTAGTTACAAGTTTCAGGTTATTTAACTTCCTTCATGATCTTTCTGTTCATGTCTCATGATTGCCCTGGCATGTGTCCTCTCCTTTCGATTTGTTCCACAATTTATTTTTCCCAGTGACGAACAAGAGAAATCAAAAATCAACGTAACACACCGGAATGAGACATAATTCTACTGTCAGTAGTGGTACCCTAGCAACTATTCCAATAAGTACGACTATTAATTGTGTATTACAAGTTATAAAATATTTTTAGTATCTTCTGGAAAACTTAGTGATTTCAACATACGTGATTTTTAAAGGAAATTAACAATATGGCAGTTGAATAACAAAGTTACCGAGGTCTGTTAACGAAACTGTCTCAAATATGTGATAATTTTGTTTTTTTGACAGGCACTGGATATGTTTGCTAAGGATGACACGTGCTATACAGGGCAAGGTTCACCTGCATTCCAGCCTCCGGAAATTGCAAATGGTCATGAAAAATTTTCTGGATTCAAAGTTGACATCTGGAGTAGTGGCGTTACACTGTAAGATCTAAATTATATTTATAGTTCCTGGTTGTGTAGTAATTTCTGTGTTTGGAAAAATTGTAAGCTTATTACTAATATTTATGTATGTTTGTATTGGAATTCTGTGTGTGTGCACAGAAAATAAAATTAAAAATTTATAATACGACCTGGACAGTCTCTAGCCATCCAGTGTGTTCATTGACTGTTTTTGATTAAAATGCATTTTAATTTCATCTCTAACAACCAGTTTAGATACATACTAGTGTGTAAGTCATAACTGAATAGGTTTTTTATAAACGTGTCAGTGAAACAAGAAATAGAATCAGTAAACATGTATAAATACCATAATTCATACAGATATCAGCAAGAAAATTCTGTATTTACTCTCATTGTTAGTTTATACTTAATGTTTTTGCTGCTGATAATAATTTGGATTTTCTTATTTGAATGTCCAAGTGATTAAATTACAAAAGGCTGACAGCAGTAATGCCTCAAACTTGCATTTCTCTGTCCAAACATTTTTAAAAATGAGAAACATGAGAGCTAATTATGTGGAATAAAACTAGAAAATTTTGATCAGTAGAATCATGAAAGAATTTCGTTAAGGGCAGATTCATCAAAATTGAGAACAAATTAATATATTGATTAATGTGAGTGAGTTTGTAACATTATAACAGTATTTTATATTATGCAACATTTTTAAATAACTTTCATTACATGCCACATTTTGGAAAATGTGTATTTTGTTCTGGAATGTAATTTCACTTTGTATTTTGCTTTTTCCTGTAGGTATAATATAACAACTGGTGTCTATCCTTTTGAAGGTGACAATATTTATAGATTATTTGAAAATATTAGTAAAGGAGATTTCAGTATTCCAAGTGAAATTGAAAATCCTTTGCGGGCATTGCTGGAAGGAATGCTGCAAAAGGACCCAGCAAAAAGATTATCATTACCACAGATACGACAACATCCGTGAGTAATTTTGTTCAAAATTTTTGTCCAAGCCAAAAAGTGAATTTTATGGGGAAGAAAGTTTACATAATGTAATATGATACATTCAGCACACATTTCATGTTACATAGAAATAAATAAATAAATAAATTGTTCGTGTGAGGATATCTATGTAGCTGTAGAACTTCTTCCTTATGTAATTTCCGCGTTTGTGGGTTGACTTTTGCATTCAGGTTTTCAACTGTCTCTATCTACCCATTCTTGCATTTCATTTACCCTCCTGCGAGCTAACTATAGCCATTTAAACACACATTTTAACCTTATTTAATCAGTTCATCATCTAAACTACTGTGTCTTTGATGTGCACAAATTTTGTTTTACTTCATACATGTGAAACCCTCTCCCTAGTTTTAATTTTACATCTGTTGTAATATAATACATTTTATTAGCTAAACAGATTAAAAAATATGAATTTATACTTCCAAAACAATCTTTAATCTTATGTGCCAAGAAATACAGCAATGATTTAAAATGTTTCTGTTTTAGACTTTACAGCAAAAGTAAAGGATCACATGCGCTAATATATATATCGCTTAGATTGCTGTCTTCCGGGTTATAGCGCTGTGCAGTCTCGTAGCAATTTACCACTGTTTCAGAGGTGCTTTCTGCCTCCATCATCAGGGAGATTATGATGATGATGATGGAGGCAGTAGGTACCTCTGAAACGTTGGCAAACTTCTATCAGACGACACAGCGCTACAACCTAAAAGACAGCCATCTTTATGTTCACCATTGTCAGAACCTCAAATCTTATTGATATTGCTAGCTTTTAAATTTGTTGTGAAATTTAACATTGTCTTTTATTTAAGCTGGTTCACACGCAAGCCAACAAGAACTCTAGAATATGTCCCTGTTCCCCCGTTGCGTGGAGATGAATTTCACACGATGACAGTGTTGCCATATCTAATAGAATTTCATTACGGAGATGATTCAGCCACAACTGAGAATCATACAGAATATATTACAGAACGTGAGTTAAATGGTAAGATTTGAATTAGAATATATTATTCTGATATATTTTCAGCAAAAGTGGAAAGTTGTAGACCTGTTTATAATGAAAGTACTAATTTAATTAAGAGAATCCTAAGATTCCAGTGAAGTGAACTACTTTTATGCAGAATTTTTACCTTGGGCAAGAAGTGCTATCTACTGAAATCTCTGTTTATTGAATACAAACTGTGGGGTGTATGAAACCTTTCAGAGGATTTGCGATAGTTTTCTGATTATATTAGTGTAAGTTGAATTCATAAAATAGTTATGTGTGGCAGACTGCCAATCTGTTTTTTTCATCCAATAATAATGTTATAAGGGAGGTGGTGACCAAAAGTTTGCCTCTATTCACTTTTCTATATAAAATATAAAAAAATTGTGAATTCTATTTATTTTTGTTTTAGTACAAATTAAGTATTTACATGACAGAAATGTAAACAGTTATTTATTCATTGTTTTCTTGTTAAAGTTAATGCCTGCGACTCATTTAAGACAAATAATTCAATTATTTAATCTTCTGAAGTAAATTGTTTTCTGGATATTATCCACTGTCCAAGACTAAATAAAATCAATAGAAACCACAAAGTTTTGGAGATGGGAGTCTATCTCCATCTTCTGGTAAAACCTACTCTGTTGGGCCCAATCGATAGAGCTAATCCCTATCTCCAGACACAAAATTAAGGAAGTTGTATTTATTATTACTATTATTTGTTGTCAGCCCCAGTTGCTTGTCTGAGATGCAGTTACTAGTTTCCTTTCCTTTCAGAAGAAAATAATTTCTAAAATATATTGTGTTGATTTAGCTGTGTGTGGATAGGGAGAAATGTACACATGAGAATAAATCTCTATTGCCCCCCCCCCCCAAATACATCAACATTTAAGATGGGGTTTCAGATATTCTGATTTTTTGAGCATTGGATGTTTGACTAGAAAAATGCTTGAGGATCATTGAATTATATTAATCGTTTTCAAACTTGCCGCTGGGTGGTGGCGAGCACTCAGCTCCATGCTGAGTTCATTTTTCGCTTTTAGCAACATATTGGGTGGGCCTCTGAGCCAGTATGGAAAGGGCAAGGAGAAAAATCCTGTCACTGCTGTTGAGTCGTATGAAGGATAAATGCATGCATGAACTGAACCAGTTGCTGTTGGCATTATTTCAGAAGAAAGGAAGTTACAGGAGTTAGAAATACATGCACAAGCAGTAACCAGAGATAGCAGTGTGAGTCGACGCGGAGGAGGAGGAAGCGGGAACAAACGGCGATGGAGACGCCCCATCTCGTGCATCAGTGTCAAAAAATTCCCTTCCTGCAAACAGTCATGATGTCACACAGCTATGTTGTTGTTGATGTACACAATGGTAAAGGTGAGTTCTATATTTTTAATTGTACCATTCTACATGATAATTTAAAATGCTCCGTAATAGGAAATATCATCTCAAATCAAGTGGCAAGTGGCAGTAAGTAGTACTTTAGTACTTACCTTCAAGATGCTGTCGTTCAGCAACTTCATGTTTCTGCCGGCATATAGACAGTTGACGGTGATATTCTGGGTTTTGGTGCTGTGTAGACTCATCAGTAGATGCCAGCATTTTGAAGAGATTCTGTCTTTATCTTCCGGGTTGTTAATGCTCATATTTCAGGATGCTTCAGGCAGCTTGCTTCCTGTAGATGGGTGAACAGCTCCTCATACGTCTCCTTGTTGATCTTAGTGCCTCCAGAAATAAACTCGTGGCTCGATGGCATGCCAGCCAAAGGAGGCAGGCTCAACCCTGCCTGCCACATTGTCACTTTATTCACGTCTCAGAACATTCTGAAGGTACTTTGTAATTGCTATAGATGAAGACTAATTCAAGACTTACCCGACTGAAACATTCAAAACAAAAGTGAATAGTTTGTTCCGAAATGACTCCTATATCACATACCTTCATATTGTTCTTGGGGTTTTCCCATTTTCAGAGGTTCCTTGTTCTCATCTTCTTCTCGTCTGAAGTTAGGCCAATAAATGACTGATTTCAGCCTCAAGATTGTAACTGTCCAGTAGTCTAATGGTCGTCTGGGCTTTCGTCTTCCTACGGGTCAGTAGTCATGTTTTTGGTGTAAAAGGTCTTTTACTGTTTTAACATGACATAACCAGTTTTGTTTTATGACCATTTTTCTCTGATTAATTTGAATCTAGTCTGTCATAAGCATCTGCAAAAAGTTAATTTCTGCAACACATGTCCATACATTGTCAAATAATGTTCATTATATATAATTTATTTAGTTTCTTTCTGTATTCCAGAATATTCCATACAATATCCATGTTGCTGCTGAAACAAGTCACTACACACACACAAAGTTGTTGATAGCTACAGATATTTATGTGCCACCAGTGCGATGGATATGAAAAAAACAAGATTAGCAAGTGGATAGATATAATCTGCAGTAAATCAAGCTTTCAAGCTGGCTGTGTGCACTCCGTTTGTACCACAAAGACATCTTCGAACAACCTGTGACCAATACAACAAAATATGAAATGAAAACACTGATTCTAAGAATTGTTAACTAATTCCATTTGAATGTTTTGTGTTGGTAGGTATGTGTAAATATCTAAATTGCCTTTTTTTAAGTTTGAATCAAATGTTAAAATGTGTGGAAACCATTTTAAGTGTGAGCAAATGAGACTGTTCTTTACCAGTATACATTTCAAAGTGTCCCCCTTTTTTTGACATAAGCTGCGATCTTAATATTATACGCTGTTGTAATTTTTTATTGAGGAATATATTTGATTTCAAACTTAAAATATGGTATTTGCAGTCTGTGTTTAACTGTTTTGTGTGTGTGCTGGAACACGTGTAAATAATGAATCTTTGTGCCATGCTATATTAAAGCCATAAGGAGAATTCTGTAGTAATGAAAGGTTAAACATATCAGTAGGCCTCCAACAAAGTTGATTTTGAGAGGAGTAAGCAAGTACAAGTACTGACTACCTATCCATCATTATATCATATTAATCTATTGAATAAGATCTTGATGAGTAATATAATTTGTTAAACAGCCAGAGTTGTAGAAGTTCAATTATAATGAACTGTTTCAAAATTAATATAAAATATGATACAGAACAGAAGAGAGTAAAAGATGGAAGTGTACATGAAGGTAAAACATTTATCAAAGTTTCGATATTGAAAGCTGAAGCATTGAGCGGTGGAGGCAGCAAGCACCTCTGAAAGACTGGTAAACTTCTACGAGACTGCATCTTCAAACTCGCTACGTTCGGAACCTGAAGTCAGACCACTGATTTTGAAGGTTGATCCGCGCGACTATTCGATGTTCCTCACTGGAGTCCCTCCTACAGACAACTATTGCTAAACTATAATACAGGTTGTTCATAAATTAGTGGATGATTTGAAAGGTTTGTAATTATTAATTTATAATATTAATACATACAGAAAACTTATGTTTTATGAAAGTCACACAACATTAAAGTTCTTTCACATGTGGTCACAGACATTCATACATAAGTTTTCTGGGTTTTTTAATTGTCTGCTAATTTTGGGACAGCCTGTATTATAGGGATTATATTGAAACACTTCAGTAACTTAATTTTCTCCAGTGTCAGGAGATAAAGAGGATTGTTGTTTCATTGTTAACTCTTTCTAAAATTGTTAACATTTATTTAAATTTTCTATGTGCATGCCATTGTACTTAAAAAGTACAATTCATTTATAGGATTCATTTTAAAAAATCAGTCATTTTTATTGCATGAAATTAGAACTTGTATGTGTAACTTAGAGGATAAATATTTGGACATAGTTTCTTCCATTTGTTTTTTCCTCTTACATATATTTAATGGGAGAAAATAATTTCAAAATTGTTTTGTATCCAGTACTTGTTATTTATTATTTTGAAGGTGGTAAGTGATCTGTTTAAAAGAAATTTAATTCAATATGACAGTGGGTATTTGATATGACTTTTTCTTTGCCAAAATGTTTCTGTGACTTAAGAGCATATAATATGAGATAGGATCAAAAAGTTCCAGGAGAATATATTTACCTTGTGCAGTTGAAATTTTTCTTTTTGCTGCCTTCAGAATAGAACCATCTCCTGTCTGAACCTCTTCCAAGACGATGAAATCTGCACCAATCTGTAGCTCTTTCGTTCATGGTAACGGGTAGTAATATGCAGGGGCAAGCACTGGTAAGGCAGATTCTGAAGCACAGAACACCTTATTTCACCAGGTAATCAGTAACCAGTTTATGGGTAGGTATGCCAGGAATTTACCAAGGTGTACAGCAGCCAGGTGCCAGTGCACTATATTTGCAATATTGGGGTTTCAATCTACTCTTTTTTATCAGCTGTCTGCTGACAAGGGCACATTCTTCTCATTCATGTATGAGTTTTCATGGTATCACAAGGTCACAGATGCAGTGAATATTTAAACTGTTGGGAGGAATAGCATTAAATTATCACGTGATATGTCATACATACCCATAAACTCACCAGTCATTACCCCGCAGTCCTGCTGCACGATCTTGATTGCAACAGCGTTTATCCATATGTGAACTGCTACCAGCCCTCCTTCATACAGGTCATTCTTCATGATTGAAAGCTATACATTTTTGTCTTTCCTTTGTGCTCTACTGCTATATCCTTCCACATCTCATCATTTCCAAAGTCTGTGCTGAAGTCTTAAAGAGCTGAACCATAACTTGATGTACAATCGCTGCTCAAAGTCAGACATCATGGAAAAATGAACCTGACAACAGGTGCAGCAAAGTGACTTTCAGCCACCACCATAACTGAGGGAATGTGCAAACAGAAACATAAAGAACACCAAACTCAATGTGCGTGGCTTTCGATGGCCACCACAACTAAGCAAGCGCACGTGGAGAAATGAGACCTCCTCTGCGATGAATCCAATATCCCTCATTCTCATCACGTGTGTGGAGACGCAGATCATTTTGGTAGTAACTTCAAACTTCTGAGTATTTTCTTACCCTACTTCACATATTGTAAAAGGTCGCACATATGATAACCTCATGTGAACAATTATTATGCATTGTTCTAATTCAAGTCTTGGTGTAAAATTGTCTCAAAGGTCTCAGCAGTGGTTCAATATGACAACTTCTGGAACAGAAATGTAAATTATGAAAACGAAATTTCTTTTCATTTACACATTTAGTATGATTCACACGGAGTTAAAAACTGGTCGAACATAGCAAATGCAATTTATAAATATGTTCACATATATGATTGTAAACTTTTGTGGCGACTGACTCAATGAAATCCTCTCAGGCCATCAGCTGTCTCAAGTGGTCAAAAGAAACCAACATTTTGGGAACCACCTCCAGCTCTACCAGCCCTAGCCAATAGAACCTAATGGGTGGAGTCAAGCACTCACTTAGCCTGACCTTTGATTTTCATTAGCTTACTGGACTCCTCCCTGATGATGATAACAAGGATGGTTCCAAAAATTCTGGTTTCTTTTGACCACTTAATGTGGCTGATGGCCGAAGAAAATTTTAGTATGTTCATGTTTTTCTTTTGCACTTATATAAGTACAGATTGTGCTGTCATATCTTTAATTTTCATTGTGTGTTCATTACCAGTATATCAAACCAGTGAGATGATGCATATAGCAATACCAGGCTGAATAATACAATTTCAAGTATGATCCATCTTTGTTTTTACATTCTTTTATTATAACAATATATGAACTTGTGAAAATAGACAAACTCATAAATCAGAAAACATTTATCATATATATAAACTCCATGGAGCAGAGTCCTTGAAAAGTCGACAATATGCTCAGCTAGTCGAGAAATTCCCCACATACTATTAAACCTGAGGGTTCATTACCGTGTTCACGAGAGTCCATCTAGAGCCAGTGAATTCTAGTCATGACACTGAATGTTTTCAATAATGGCATACCTGAATATATGATCCGAAATGCACATTTAAGTGTGCTAATTGAGTTTCTTCCCAATATATATGTACCTTTACAATGGTAACATTTTATGAGAAAGAACTGCAGACATAATCTTTTAAGGAAGAATAATAATAATAATGGCAGATTTACATAATAACTTAGCACAGTACTGTGAAAATAAATGTCTATAGATTACAAAGAAAAACAAGTTATACTATCAATTTAAATATGATGTGGTGTTGCTATGTAAACAGTTAAAGGTCTGTTGCCGAAGTTAAACTATTGTGTATACAAAGTGATTCTTCCTTGCGTGCAATAAATATATGGATCATGTTCTATTCCTAAAATGAGTTCAAAAAATTCTTCTAAACTTAACAGTTTTCTAGTAAACTATACATTTCAGATGTCCCCACACGTAGATTTAAACAGGAGTGAGACAAGGCGATTGTGGAGACCACAAAACAGGCCGGTTTCATTCTATCCATCAATCTGGGTAGTAAGAGTCTAAAAATACCTTTACATTAAAAAAAAAAGAGCTCCATCATGCATAAACTACATAGTTAGTCACATTGCATTTGTACATCCTACATTGGATAAAGTAATTCCATAAAAGAAATTTAAATAGGAGACTCTTGAGTGATGAGATTCTCATTATTCTTGTGCAAACAGTTGTAAAGTGCTCAATGTTGCCATATCTTGGTAACGGAATACTTGCGACCATGTGCGTATAGGAGCTTTATGCCTTTATTTTACGATAATAAGTGCTTATATTTATTGCATGTAATTAAGAATCACTCTGTATATGGTAGAGATTACATAACACTCATTTTGTATTTTCTGGATAAAATATAATTCAGCTGTTAACTGTACTATATACTTAATTATCGATGGTTATTAGTGAAACTTTGGCCATTCCCTGGTGTATAAATATACTGTTTGTGTTGTGGATACACTATCATAACCAAGACTTAGAAGGTACTTTAATTAAACAACATTAACATAATACATCTGCCTATCTCAGAAAGATTTACAATTTCTTTGAATTATATGAACATGTGCAATAGAATTTTAAAATTAAGGCACTGTTGATTAAGGTGTAACATATAATGTATGGTAAATTTTAAAGGAAACTTCCTTGAACAATTAAGGGTTTGAATTGATGAATAATACATTTGTGATCTTCATGAAAATTTAAATAACACTTCTGATGTTATCAACAGATCTTAAGCCAGTACTGATTTGCTGAGAGTTAGAGCTTATATGAGATGTTTGCTTTAAAAGGGAAACACACAATAAAATTCTAAACAGTACAAAGATGTTTTCCTAATGGATTGAATAACCAAAAGAATTAATTTAAGTGTAAGCAGATTTATTCATATGGAGAACTGTATAGTGTACATACAAGAAATATATTATTTGTGACAAAGAAATATGTGGTGTTATGAAGAATGGGATTCCAGTGACTTCTTTCAATTACTGATATTAATTTTATCAAAAAAAAAAGTGGGAATACAAAGACTGAAAATCATTTTTGTCTTGCACCATGGGATACTATATATCCATAGTGTATGGCAAGATGGCCAGCCGTAGAGTTCACTATTTTTATCAGTTTGATTTGATAGCTTCTGAAATACTTTCATACTGTCACTAAAATGAATCTTGCTAGTAGAATGCCATAAACGTCTTTAATTTATATTAACTAAACTGTACCAAAGTGTTGTGTACAAAGTCTCAAAGTTGTTACAGATACACAAACGTCTTTCAGTCGAGTTTCTGTATTCATATGTACCAAAACTAACAAAGAATCATAAATGGTATGCTTGTGATTATCAAATTATGTAGTTTTTCTTTTAGTTTTCCTAAGAAAAGTTCACTTTGGGAGGATTTGATTCTTTCATAGATGATCATAAAATTCAGCTGTATCAAATATAAATAATCATGAACTTTGTGGTGTAACATTTTAAAAAGTAGGCTTATAACTAAAAAATCTAAAGATGCTGATACATCTCTTATACATATTTATGCGGATAGCAAGAAGGTAATAGCAATTTTTGTTACGCCAAAAGTGATGTTGGCACCAGAGAATAAGATAGCAGATATAAATAATTTGAAACTTCCCTCATTCACACCCAGACGGTTTTTGTTTTTGGAGCAGTGATAACACTGCAACAGACTTAATAACATCGCTGCTGTACTGATAGAATGTACGTGTGATATGACCGCGATCATAAGGCATAAAAAGTATTGACATTTACAGAAGAAAGACAGTTACGTATAATGTTAATATGAGCCAGAGGAATGTCTACAGATGGACGGAACGATTTGTAGGAGAGTAGGTGAGTTTAAGGCAGGAAAGTTGAAGCACATGTAAATTCAGCCAGAAGGTTTCGTTGGGAATCAAGTCTGATAAATTCCGAAGTTGCTTCATATTTTTCCATGAGTTCTAAAATTCATAATGTATGTGAGCTGACTAACTGCAGAAATTATAATACCAAAAACATCTTAATATACATACTTATTACTAAAAACTGGGAAATTAACCTATTTTTATCAATTAAAAATGGGAAGAGAAATAATGAGGTCTCCAGAAATTAAACTTAAACCTACAAAGTAATTAAACAACACCCATTTTCCAGTTTCATGGCATGCTTCATACAAATATACTTTTTATGAAGTAGAACTGTTCAAAATATCATTGTTTTTGGGGAACAAAAGTAATGCAGTATAAAATGAACAGAATTCTATTATTTTATTTCCTATAAAACTTGAAATCAATTAGCATATTTTATTTCAAGTGTTAATGCTGCCATAATTAATATTATAAATACTGACATGAATAACTAGACATTTTAAGAGTTATATAGACTAACATATACTGATCCACCCAGATGTTATGAGCTGATCACGCCATTTTATTTTCAGTCACTCTTCATATATTGAACAATTTTTAAATTTTTAATACACAACTAAGGGAAATAAATTGTATTTCTGAGTTTTGAACAACTTATGTTATCAGGTTTCAGATATATTTATCAGGACTGTGTGATTGTTATTCACATGTTTGAAAACATCCTCTATATTATGTGAAATTTATAAACTAAAGAACCCACAAAGTACTTTCTGAATCAAAGGAAAACATCATAGATATGGTTATTATTGGTACAAAAATACAACAGACCAAGAATACTATGAAATTAATGGAATAACAGTCATTGTTACTTCTGCATGTGAAGAGTTTCAGTGTGTCAACATTTTTTGCAAATACCCAAAAAAAAAAAGTATCAATTTTTATGGCTGGGAATGCACTCACCATACTCAAGATATACATAAATAAGTGCAAGTTACATTTAAAAATTCTGAGCATTAAAATGTTGATACTTTTAGATGGGTCTCAAACTTTCACACAGTTTCTTTTTATAAAAATATTACAACTGGACTACGATTTATTGCTAAATGGTATCATTTTATGTAAGTAAGCTACTGACAGAATAAATCATTTTATACTACCATATTATTAACCACACTCACTAACACATCTTCAGAGGTGGATTTCGCATGATGGATTTACATTCTCCTTGTCTATTGGCATAGCAGCACTTCTCTTCAGTTTAGAAAAAATCTAGAATGACATAAAATATCTTAGGATAAGGCCATCCTATAAAACAGAAAATATTTGTAATTAACCCCTTGACTGCTTTGCTCTGAACATCCTGTACTACTATAGGCAGTAGCACAACACACTGCTTCAGATATTCTGATCGGAAAATTATGCAGTTTTTACATTTTCTCATCTGTATGGTCAATAAAAAACTGCAGACATTCTGCCATCTCCTGATAAACATTTGGTAGTGTCTGTACATTTCTCCCAACATTAAGAAGTCAATAAACTAAGCGATGTAGGATTTGAGGTTTTCATAGCGCAAAACCTAGAAGACAGCCATCTTCAAACAAAGTAATACTCAGCAGTCAAAGGGTTTACTTACTAATTTGTTTACACTGTCAACCAAAAGAGGGTCTTATAGTATACATAATGAGATTTTTTCTGAGCATCCCAGCAAATCACAGAACAGTTGCAGTGAACTTCAACAAATGAATGTAAACTTATCACAGAGGTGTCCGGAAGGCACGCAGGACTACAAAGATAATTTCCAGCATCTACTTTATTCAGGGAAAAATTTATTTTTAATCTATTTAGTTTAAACATATGGGAGGAGCATCCAACTCTTCCACCTGAGAGGTCCAGCGATTAGCGGGGATACTAAAAATAATCTCACTGTATGTATCTGTGTGTGTGTAAATAAATAAATATAAAGGAACTTTGATGTTCATTCTCAAAATGACTAAACCAAGACTGACAAAATTTCATGGACCAAGCTCAATTTATTCAAAAGCTATATCAGAATCATACATGCATGCCGATTGCTCCAGCGAGAATCCTTAGTAGATGCACTGAGGATAAACCAAACACCAAAAGCAAGCCAAGCCAAAAACCAAAGGCGAAATGTGATATTCTCAAGAACACATTGTGAGTCCTCATGCGACAAAGGCCAACTAGAAATGCGGTTTGGGACGATAAACAACCTGCCAAAAAGTTAAAACATTTTTCAACACAAGTAAAAGCTGAATACCTTAGAAGGCATGGATAAGGGTATAGTGTCTCTGTAGAAGGCTTCACATATTACGCATTCAACAGTCTAAGTAAAAAAAAAAATACTCATCTCAGTTTTGACAGATATGGTAGTTCCATGCAAATATGATACATGCGGAGCAAAATATGGACCATAAGAAGAGTTGGCAGAAGAATATAAACATAAAATGAAATGCACTTCATACAATTAGCATACTGTTACGCCATATGGCAACGTGCTCGTAAACAAATAATCTTATCAAATGCAGTCAATGGATTGCACATCAAGTTTGCCAATAGCTGAAATGCTTCCTACAAACAATACAGAATGAAGCAGTTACAGTATGTACAATGCAAATCATGTAAATATCTAACTACTTTACATTTAATCAGGCATTGAATAAAGCATTACAATTTCAGTGATGTATTTTAAACACTTACAAAAGAAACAACATTTTAATAGTTTTCTTCTGTTATCTGCATTAATTCCTATTAATATCATGTAAGTATATTCAACATACCTGTAACAGTGTCTTTGCCTTCCTTTGATCATTTCCAGAAGCATGCGATAATTCCTTCTTCTGATTATCTTTGCTTGCAACATAATGGTTGTTGAGATTTTTCATCACCAGAGGTTTTGATAAGCCCATTCGGAAACCAGGTGATTTTGAACGGTCTTTCTTGACATCATTATCAAATGTCGCAGAGTTATCTGAAGATACGTGAATTTTAGATCTATCTGAGTGATTTTCTGTCAATGACTTTCGTTTGTCTCTTGGGGGTTGTATATTAGATGCAGATTTGGACCTTCCGTGATTTTTATAAATAGATATGGTTTTCTTCTTTTGATGGGAGCCATCTGCAGATGTATTTCTAGGCACATCAACAGTTTTAACACTCTCAGATATTCCAGTTTGCAATGAAGAACTCTCTCTATTATCCCTAACAGAGATAGGAGATGGTAAACATTCTAAAGTACTGTGATTTGGAGACGTATATCTGTCATTTCTTGCTGGAGTGGATGTTACCGCCAAGCCTGATAGATTAAATTGTGGAATGGTACTCGATGATTTGCTTTTCTGATGAGAGCCAAGAGTTGGTATCTGACATGACTGCCTACGAACTGGAGTTGTTGGCTGTACATCCAAGACAGGCTTTGGATTTTCTTTAGAACTAACAGGAACACTGTTATTATCGTAAGACGACGGCTGGTTTAGAAAGACAGAAGGTGATGCAAGGGAAGGAATTCCACTGGTAAGAGAATTGGCACGCCTCAGAACTGGAACACATGATGTCGAGGACAATGCTGTAAATGATCTGTTAACCCCAGAACTGAAACAATAAAAAAACCATGAGACAATCTTGTGGGTACTGATGATTAATTTACTTATTACAATAAAAAAAATCAAAATTCTTGGTATGTTATACACTGTTAAACTAACATTTTACTTTGAACATATCTATGTCACTACTCACCCATCTTTCTTGACAGCAACTGTCCTTGACTCAATCATAGACAGCGCAGAAGGATTCGCGGCCTTTTTCTGACATGATCTGGCAGGCTGAAAAGTACACAAATAGCTCTTTTATTCAGTACTCCAACACATATAATTTTTATTATCATTTCTTAAATTATATCGTTTTATTTGACTTATGGATTAAGTGATGCTCCATAAAGCATAACATGATTTACATTTCATTAAATACCCTAATGCGACAGAAATAAGTATGGAAGCCATTGAATCAAGGGCTAAACTGTACTTTACCTACGTCACTTACCTGCGGATAGAAGAACAAATGCATATACTATGTAAACCAAAGACATTACCAACATAGGAACTGAGAAGGTGAGCTACAAAGTACTGCCAATGAGAAATAATGTTTATAGTACCAATACTATAGGCTTCCTTATCCACTACCTCTCCCACCCCTCAGATCCCCTTGCCTTTTACTTCTAACGCACCTCGAACGATTATTACAGTAGTACGTACTCTTAAACTATTACTATTCTGTAAACTACTCTGATGTTAATATTAAACAATTTAGCAGTCACCTGTGTAAAAGCTGATAATGACGATCATCATCATAATAATAATGATAATTATCATTGCTGCATTCACTGGCTAAGTTTGAAATCTGTTCTTAACACAATGCAATTTTAATAAAGATTAGATTAATAATAATTTAATGTGCCACTGTGTCTTTTCTGAATGTTCATGCATTTGCTTGTACTAGTAACAAGGGTCCTCCAGGTTGGGGGTTGGTCGCAAGGCTAACAACCTTGCACCGTAAAAAGGAAGATGTTTCGAAACCCCAATCAAAGCCTCGGACAGATGGACCTAACAGAGGACCGAATGGAAGAGGAGAATTGAGGAGGCCATGGACCGGAGAGACATAGAAGAAGAAGTAACAAGGGTTTATCTCTCCAACATTAAAGAATAATTAAAGGATTAACTGCAAATCATATTCAAAGTACAATACCTGTTATACACACACTGTGATAATAATTTTTTTTCCTACCAGAACTGGAGTATTTGTGGTTTCTGTCTCATGATTAAGTGATGATCTTGATGACCTGATCAGAGATTTTGGTGTGCTAGTGACACCAGAATTAGCTTTAAGCACACGAGCTTCTGCTTGCTCTCCTGAAAATCACAATCAATATATTTTGATAAAAGTTTTGAAACAGCTTAATTGTCCATGAGCCAAGTCAGTGACCTAGCCTAACCTAACCTAACACTACTCCCTAAAATTTCCAAGCCATTTTGTGCAAAAATGCAAACTGGAAGAAAATCCTCACCTTTCTTTTCAGGACCACCAGCTCGTGTCATACTGTCAACTGGAACGACCGCCTTCATCGGACCTCTTTTTCCAGTTTCCTGCTTTCGCTTTGCTTTCAATCGCATATTCCTTTCTGTCTCATTAACCAAACCTTTCAGTGGTGGTGGAAGAATATTTGGAAGAACTTTGCTCAACTTCTTGTCTACTGACTGGAACAAAATTAAGAGTTCAAAACTTATGTCTGAACTATGGGTTTATAATTGTCTTATTTTAATATCATACAATGAACTGAATTTATATCTTCATTGTTCTGTCACTTGGAGCTAACATTTTTAAGACACAGCTCAGTAGCCACCAGAAGACCACTGGACAACTTTCTGTTCCGAACCAAAACAGAAAAATCAAAGTCTTGTTAAATGTAAAAAAATAGTCAAAATTAAATCAGATTTTATTTAACCCCCTTTGTTATTAAAATATACATACAGATAAGAAGCGACTATGCAAACTAAGGCCTTGGATTCTCTGGTTAGAAAGTGGTGGTGTGGAGGAACTTGAGCAGCTACCAGAGCTCTGCTTAGAGGAGCGTGACGTCTCAGATGATCTACTTGATGTACTGCTGCATCCACTTTTCCTGCTTACATCAACTTTCTGCAAGGATATAAATAAAATTTAAATTAATACTTGTAACATATCTTTACTTGGGGTCAGCAGTGGCCACGCGGTCTGAGGCGTGGGCCTTGTGCCGCTTGAACGCTGGGACCATGGGTTCGAATCCCACTCAAGCCACAGATGTTTGTCCGCGTTTTTCTGTGTTGTGCTGTCCTGTGTACAGGTAGAGGCCTTACGACGGGCCGATCCCTCGTCCAAGGAGTCCTACCGAATGTCTATAGATCAAGCCAACGAAAAAGTTGGAACACGCAGTGCTCAGGTACTTGAAGAACGGGTCATTCCCAGTATATTTTTACTTTACCTTCAAATATATAAGGATATATACACAAAGACTTTTATTATAAGAATAATAAGATGAAATTCTTGCCTTATGTTTGCAGACTTTTTAAATTAAAACTTTGCTGGCTCTAATGCGGTAGAATGCAGAAAAGAATTCAAGTGCTTCAGTTACTAAAATTTAGTGCACAGACAACACATAAACAGGTCTGATGGAAAAGCAATTACCAAACTAAGATCAAAATGAAGATCGCTGTCTTCTGGGTTCATGATGGAGGCAGGAAGGACCTCTGAAATGTCGGTAAACTTCTACAAGACTACACGGCGCAACAACCCAAAAGACAGCCATCTTCAGACTCGCTGCCATGAAAACCTCATATCTTACACAGTGAAAATTCTGGCTCATATCTAAAACAACCTCATTACCAAACATTAACCTTAGCTTCTGAGATGAGGGCTTTTTATGTCCGTGTTTGTGGTTAGGCTTCATACCATCTGGAGGTGACCCTGTCTTTATTTTGGCAAAATCTGGAAGGTTACTATTTTCTATTTGATCTGCACCATCCTCCTCTGAATTGAATTTTGGTAAATTCAACTTTGACACCTCCCACTGAGGTTTAAAGGTTGAGATGTCTTCCTCACCATCGCTTGCTGTAACAATCATAAAAACAAAGTTATTACAATTATGGACCAATTTCCTTCCTTCAGCTATTGTTTTCATTAACCTTTATCAGTATAATGTGGGACAGTACAGCTTAAAACTATAACTTTAATACTTAAATTTCATTAGGAAGTTATTAAATCTATTGTAAATCTGAGCATGTAACACTAATATTAATTTAAAATTCTGGGGTTTCACATAAAGTGATGCTATAGATTGTTCAGGATAAACAAAAATTAAATTTGGTGCAAAGATTTTAATAAGGTCCATAAGATTACATTTTAAGAAATTTCTTTAGTGAAAGAAAAGTTTTTGCTAGTACAAGAAGACAGTGATAATAAGCACTTTACTTCTGAAATTAATATGAAGTTGAAGAGAACAAACATATACATTTTCTAATGTATGTACATCACCAACATACACTTATGCTTTTAATGTATGACATGTAACTGTAACATACAAAAATAGTTCTACATTTCCTATTATATGGGTTAATTAGCCTAATTCTGCGTCACTAATTTACGGTTATTAAACACATGCACGTAACAGGCTCTGAATAAATGAATGAAAACACACAAAACAAATTTTGTAAACTTGAGAAATACTTACAGGTTAACTCACTGAAACTGTCTGCAGCCTTACTGAAGACAAATGCCAGAGTATTCGCTTCCATAAACACATTATCGTCTCCTTCAACCTGCGAGTTAGACAGGAACAAATCAATACAACAGTAGATGGATGATTTCCCATAACACCTACTCACATGTCGGAACAACATTACATGTAAAATTTTTATTTTCATTCAGGCACACACTTCTTGCATCATATAAGACCATTTGACCTTGAAAATGAAAGCTAACTACAGCATAATACCAAGTACTCGATTTCATCAGTCTCAGAACATGTGACTTTCAGTGCATGTCCCCTGTAAGTTCTGGCATCAACACTCTGACATATGTGGGTATATTTCATCTTATAATCAAAGAACAGGTTTCAACAAATGAGATCTGAGATTGTCATGGCAGTGAACATGTCAATGTCCAGCTTCTGGGCTGTAAGATCATGTCAACTTGTATGTATATACCAACATTTTGAAGGAACATAATGCCTCCTTCTTCAAGGCTGTCACTTCAGCGCTGAAGACAGAGGTAGTATAATCCTCTCACAAATGTCTATCTATCTAAGCACCATCTCTGAAAATGGCTGCCTTCTGGGATTCTGCACCGTGTAGTCCGGTAGAAAGTGACCAGTTTTTCAGAAGTGCTTACTACATCTATAATCAGGGTGATGAATCTGTAAAATTTTACCAGACTATACAGTGCAACAGCCCAGATGACGGCCATCTTTGAACCGTATACTCCTCTTTGAAACTGCCTTTCTTTAAATCAATACAAACCTCGTCATTCTTGTTGCTATCACATGAACCCACACACAATGAAGATGACAATCTTCTTATATATATATTTCCTGCCACATAATCTGAAATATAAAACATCAATCAATTTTCATTCTCATTTGATACTGGCTACAACATGGCCTCATATATTTAAAATGTCAGATGATGGACAAAGTCCGGGTGTCAGCCATAATTTATCTTATATGAAACAGCATGTAGTGAAGGTCAGGCTTGCAGATTTTCACCAACTACTATCAATTCAAGAGTAACATATCAAACTGTGATTTGATATTCTAGATAAAAAATGCATTAATTTTTGCAAGTAAGTCATCAACATCAGATGTAAATTGTGAGTAGTACATGTGCACGAAAGGGAGGCCTGTCTCTTTTTATTGTGCATCAAATGATTAATATCTTTTGATATCTCAAGACCTACTTGGCTTAGAGGGTCAGTTTAAATGATGATTATATTCCTAAATCATGATAATGAATGTTATAAAAGTACGAGATTTTAGGGTCTCATTGTGGTGAAGATGACAATGTTGTTCTGGGTTATGATTCAAAAGTTTCGTAACGAGAAACAAATTTTTCAGCCCTGAAGATGTAGATAATATGTTACTCTGGGATGCTGGTATCTACCTAAGAGTCTACAATGCATCATAACCTAAAAGATCATCATCATCATCATATTATAAAATTCTTTATAAGTTATTTGAATTTGTAACTTGCAAAGAAAGTTAACGTAAATTAGTAAGTTAGTCTTCAGTATAGTATAATAAGTCTTTATAAGAATCTTACCATCATTGTTTGAAGAAATACATGCCAAAGTATTTCTGTCAACATGCAGCGAATTTTCTTGAGCTGGATGAAGTCTCTCTTGATCAGTGTTTTTCACTTGTATATCATTCTGTACTGAACTCAGTTTTTCTTCACCACATATATTATCTTTTCCAATTTTTCCACTGTCAGCTGTTACATTCTTATGTTCACATGAACTGGAACTATATAATTCAGGATCAAGACTATTAGGTGCAACATTCATATTTATACCTAAATTATTATTAGCACATTTTAGAGAAAAACATTTCTCTGTGGAACCAGAACCAGAAATAGTTCCTCTAACATCTGAGAATGATTGACACAACAGGTCAGGAGAGGTTTTCATTTCTGAATTGCCCGACATAAACATGTAAAAGGCTTTATTGAGTTCCCCATATGATTCGACACTACCAGTACTGCCACTGCTTTTTCTCTGTGTCAGCAATTTTAATTTATCAAGAGGTGTCTTCAGACTAGATGCTAAGATGGCATTTACTGAATTTGCATTTCCCTGTTGATGTAACGTATGCAGTGCTTCAACAGATGCATCTGTAACACCATTCAGAGTTGCAGGTAAATTACTCTTCTTTATTTCAGGGGATGCAAATGAAAAAACATCTGAATGCAGGCGTGAAGACTGTACGAGCGGCACAGGTACTGTCATCACGGGGGCAGTGACAGTAACATGAGAGGATGAATTGTGACCAGAAATCCAATTCTCTCTTGTAGACAACTTTGTCTGCCCCAGTGCATTTTTAATGCAAGCATTTATTCTACTTGCAACAATAGCTTTCAATTCCTCATCTGTGTGGGAATTGGAATTTAATTTAATTTCTTGGGATGGTGATAATACATCTGTTTCAGTTTTTCTATGTATACAACCTGTACTAAAACAATTCTGGTACACATTATGCCCATCACAACAGGAACTTCTTATATGTGTAAACAAATTATTTTGAGCAATATTTTGTCCATTCTCTGCAGTTTTCATGTGACAGATTCCACTGCTATTCTTTACAGGCTGGTGTACATTAATCAAATTGGTAAAATTTAAATCACTTAATTCATTTATCCTTTCTGTTGCTGATGACTGTTTTGAAGCACAAGAAGTGTCCGACAGGCTTAAGAACATACGTCCAGTTGGATCTGTGACATCTTCAATACAAATTAATGAATCTTCACCAATATCTTCATTCAAATGCTCCAGTATTTGGACCACATCATTAGAATGAATAGAATTTGCTTTAAAATTATCAGAAGCAGTGCTACAAATATCTTGTAAGGATGAAACTGTCTCAGTCGGCAGCGTTGTAGAAACTTCTTTATCGTCTGTATTTGTCACATTTGAATCTGGATTTTTTTCATTTACTTCAGTCGGAAGGTGATATGCTTTTTGATATACAAGTTCAAATGGATCATTTAGCATCCGAACATTCAAATCTGTCTGATGAGTAACTAAGTCAAAGGGATTATTGTCAACATCAGAATCATCTCCACCTAAAACAGTCTGAGTGCAAGTTAATGTGACACTTGGAGAATCTACTGGACCAATTGGAGGTGGAAGTAATGGTTTCAGATGACCAGTGCTTCCAACTTTCAGCTGTGTTTGCAAAGGACCATTAAAGTCTATAAGCAGTTTATTAGTATTCTTGTTATAGTGGCTGTTATCTGAAACAAGAGTTTTTAAATCAGAGTATGTTTCAAAATACAGAAATATTCTCAAATATATAAACATAAAATCATTTCACCTACCACACATATCTGTCACAGTGACTTCCATAAAATTTAAGTGTGGAGATTCTTGTTCTACAATCGAAGTAAGCTATGATATAAATGTTAATCTGCAAAACAAATATAACATATATAAATAATAATTTGTAACATAAACAAGTTGAAGAGGGCATGGTACATGCAAAACAAATAAACATATATAAATAATCATTTGTAACATAAACAAGTTGAAGAGGGCATGGTACAATTGAAAATTATGGCACTTGTCACTTTACCACACCTGCTTGGGTTTTATAGAAATATTTGTGTTGCGAACTTATGAACACTAGGTTTAAAGAAAGCAAACCTAACAAGACTTAAACAAACACAAAGAGACCAACACAAATGAAGGTGATGACAAGAGAATCATTTCGAGTATATTTTTGCAAGAACAATATAATTATGTGGACATAAACTACAAAATCTAATTTATGTTTAGATCAATGTACTGGCATTACGATAAACTCCTTATGATACCACACGTTAAACAAATATTGAAATGCATAATTTCTACCTACATTTCTAGTATTTGGAATAACCTGTACTTCTATGGTAAAAATGTCAGTCCTCTTGTGTTTAAACATCTTATTATTCTTCCAGACATTCTTTATTGCTTTCTGATATCTCTTTAGTTTGCATCCCTAGACATGCAATGTAACATTCAATTTTTACATCAGGCATTTTGGTGATCAAGATCTCTGACTGGCAGATAGTGCAAGAGTTCAAAAAACAATGTTCTGAGTGAACAGACTTAACTATCATACACAGCAGACTATAGATGCTTGACAGTGCAGATTCATATCTGTCCTACAACATTCACAACTAAAGTAGAGTGATGGAATTTCTGTTTCAAGATGATCTATGCTTCATCCAATATTATGCAGAAAAAAGTGAATCGATATTAAATATACACAAGAAATGGACAAATTGTACGTACTACAGATGAAATAACCTTCCAAACCGTAAGCAACCTCCTCATGAAATCCACAGGTACGAAAGTTAATGTGACACTGCAATCATGTCAGAAAACTGAGAAAAAAACCTTCCCATTAACATTTTACAAAAATTTTATAAAAGAAAAATGATACTGAATTAAAACATATGGGATTGAACGTGACGAAATTTTCGTCACTGAATAACAATGTCTTATATTTAAAACTAAATACCTTCAATATTATCACACAACACGATTTCCTTAATTACTGGTAGGTTCTTCCACCTGAGTCGGTTTCTCTAATATCTGGAATAAACTCCGAAACCATCACATTCCTTGCACCTTGTATTCTACGTACAAATCTATTCAAAACTCGTTGCATATAACGACACCGTACAAAGTTGATAACTACAAAAAAGAATTTCCCCTCTATGCGCCAGAACTCTGGGCCTCTTATATTTGTTTAATGTTTGGTAATGAATCCAATTTTTATGTTGCTTGTACAGCAACTAATAAGAAATAATTTTCAGCGTATGCGAGGACGTTTTATTGCATTGTATTCATTCAATAAGATTGTACAACACTTCTGTAAATGGAAAACTAATAAAAATAAGACGCCGGTATAACAGTTGGTAATCTGTAATTGCCATAAGCCATTGACTCTTCAAAAATGGAATCCTTCGATCATCCGTTGAGAAGATAATTTCTTAATTAAACAATATAACTGTAAAAATAGCAGAAAATTCAGCCGTGCTTGCATAGTACGAAATTTCATTTACAGTTTTAAAACAATATAGCCTGGATATGTATAAGGCTACGTGGAAAGTAGACGAGAACGACGAAGGTACTGTAGGTTATGTTCACGTATGTCAGCATAATACGCATATTTAAAAAACATTTGATGTACTACGAATATTAATTTCTATACGAGCTCGACTAGAGCAGAACTATGGGACAATCATATTTATGTTAATTCTTATTACAAAATTTAATATTTTGTTGTATTTTACAATTTTATATTTCATATTCGGCAATATGTTGGTACTCGTGGTTTAGATGTTTGTTTTTCTTTCATGTGATACTCACGTAGGTTAGGTTAATATTTTGATCACGTTTATTATTTTAATTAAGAGAATGGAATTAATAGATTACTTCTCTTTTGTAGGATATGTGGGATTTTAATTAGAATTTGTACTGGGAATGAGTTTGAAAAATTAAGTTGTATAAAATGGCAAAATACCCCTCCATGAGTCTTATGCTACCGATGAGCCCATCTTTTCTGACTTTTCAGGAAAGCCATGAAACCACTATTTAGCGCAAAATACCCCTCCATGAGTCTAATGCTACCAATGAGCCCATCTTTTCTGACTTGTCAGGAAAGCCATGAAACCACTATTTAGTACCTACTGAGCCCTAATTGAAGCCCTAGCACCAGTATTTTTTGTTCCAATTCTCATAGTGGACAAACTTTGAAGAGACTGTATTCACAGATATGACCATCATGGAAAGCATTAGCCACCACAGTGGTCAGTGCTTAAAGAGGAGAGGATATGACAGGCTAACATTTCATAGCCAATCCCAAGTTGAGAGCATCTCACTTTTTTCCCTCACTGATTTCAATTTTTTTGATTTTTATTTGTTATTCAGTAGTAAAGAATCTCAAAAGCTGTGGTGGTACTCTTGAAATTTAACAACAATATCAAAGCTCCTTAGAAAGTAACTTTCATTTTTAAAATGTTTTGTAGTAGAGTAGAAAGATTCATTCCCATATCTGTATCCATCTTCTACATGAAATGTTTAACATGTTATTTTAAATCATATTGAAGTATGCTTGAGACTCTGTTTACATAGGTTATAAAATAATGCTTGGTAACTTGTGTTGCATCACAAACATTATTAGATAATAAATAGTAATGTTTATAAAATGATTAAATATATTTTTACAGCTGTGTTTATTGATGCTGAAGAAGAAATAAATGCAGACAGTGAGATGTGCTCCTACAGTAGGTGGTCATATTTGCCAGATCTAGTACTTGAAAAGGTGTTTTCTTATTTGTCTATGAGAGAACGTTATTATGCGTCCATGGTGTGCAGATCTTGGTACAGAGCATTTCATCTCCCATATGTTTGGTCAACTTTTGTATTGGATGATTCTACTCTGACAAGGAGGAAATTTAATTATTACTATGGTTGGCAGGTAATTACTGTATGGTAATCTCTTATCTATTCTACATTTTACTGTGTCTTATGTTTTAGTGGGTACTTCAACTCGGATCGGGATACAACTCTTATTAATAGCACGATGGGTATGCGTACTGTTCTATGTAGTGATTTATTTTCATGAAAATAAAAGTGATAGTACCCAGGTATTACAAACTGGGGAGTGTGGTACTGTCAGACTTCTGCCTTCTTTCAACTTGTGTGTTATTCCCCAACTAACATCTCATGTTTGTGGTGCATGACAAAATGGTGCCAGTACAGTATACTGTTACAAACCACAAAGAGCCAAAGGAATTTGCTGATCCAGTATCATTTATCATATCTGTGTCATAGTCTCCACCCATGCAGACTTTGAACCCAAGTAATTTCCCCATTCATGCTATAAATTCTGACCATCTTATCTATCCCGTATCCATGTAACAATAGGATGGAATCAAATTAAACATTGATCATGTTCCAGTATGTATTGGATCACTTGCGAACACAAATGTGCATCACAAATGTTGGTCGTAACTTCCGGCAACTTGTATTTGGACCCATGATGAATTTTTTTAACCTCTATGAGTTTATGAACATGTTATCATACTTTGTTGAGCGACCTCAAGAAGATCTAGAGATTGGTACCCACATTCGATCATTGAGGTTCATCTTTCCTTGTAATATGGCTGTGCGAGATGAGTCAGAACGAGCAAGGATATTCGGAACTGGAGGTACGAAATGACTGGAGACTTTCAGTGACGGTTATCACTAATCATTAGTGCACGCTCCCACAAATTTAGCAGGTCACTGGTATATATTTAAATAACTAACTCCATGTTTCAGGGTATTCTGTGAAAAGGTAGTACTTATGTGTCAAGAAATTCCTGCTTTTGTAGAAATCTGAAGGTCCATGCCCTCACACCATTTATATAAGAACCTGACTTTTATGTTCTCTCTCTTGCTTCCAAAAAAATTAACTGTTCTCTCAACAAAAATGTACTCAATCCTTGTAGTGCATTAGATATAAAAATTAACAGAGTTTTCAGTATGATTTTAGTTTTGTTTCCTTGAACTAAATATCTGTTATAATACGACAGTAGAACCCTGATCAAAAGCCAATGTACTCTATTTACTTTCCTGTTCCCGTAGATTTAGCAGTCTTCCCTGCGTTACCAATAACATGTCATATTGAACTGACACTGCGTTAAATAATATATGTGACAGTATTTTTCTCAACCATTTTCTACAAAATTATGTTCTGTTACACATCGTCATCATAAAAAACTTTGTTATATATAAGATTGAAAAAATGTTGGTGAGTGACTTTACATCCAGACTTACATTTTTTCATGTTTCTACTACATTATACAAATAAATTGGTCTATGGCATTTTTTCCTCCATACATGTGAAATCTAAAGCTTCTAGTAATCATGCTGTTTTTCTCTCTTAGTCTGAAGTTTTGATTCACACAAATTGAAATATGTATATTTTGAACTCTACAAAGTGTTTTGAATGACACTGTACATTATAATATTGGTTATTCTATACAGGCCGGCTGCTCGAAGCATTAAAGAAGCTAATGGGGAACTTGGCATCATTACGTCATCTTGAATTGATAGATTTGATGCTAGAGCCTCATGAGGCTCAACATCTCTTGGATGAAGTGTGTTCACTTTGCTGTCTGACGCTGCACACACTCATCTTAATTAACACAACGAAGCTACAGTATCAGTTGCTGCATGCTGGTGTGTTTTTGAACTTACAGGTAACTGAAAGAAAATCTATTACTTAATTACAGTATGGTATTTAAGGAACATAAAGTGTGTATAACAAAACATCATGGAGTGTTTTTTGTAGGATGTTTGAATCTCAGCTTGGAGACTGGGTATTTACCCTTTCCATGTTCTTCCCATTTACCATTCATAAACAATCAAATCACTTGATAGTACTTAACATATGCAGTTACTTTATTAACATGTAAGATTTGAGGTTCTCCCAGCAGTGAGTATGAAGATATCCGTCTTCTGGGTTGTTGCGCTGTGTAGTCTGGTTGATGAATATTCATCGCCCTGATGACGGAGGCAGTATGACCTCTGAAACGTTGGTTAACATCAACCAGACTACACAGCGCAACAACCCAGAAGACGGATATCTACTTTATTAACAACTTGAGACACACACATACCCAAGCCTCCACTCCTGCACACACACACACAAAGCTTGTCTTAACTTCATCTTTCGTCATTTCCACCATCTTATGACAAAGCCTTCTCAGTGCTTTTATATCCTTCAAAAAGTTTTCGTCTTCGATATGTGCCCATTCTTTTTTTTTTACTCTGTTCCATCACTTGGTCTTTCCACCTTGTCCTTGGTTACACATTCGTCTTCATTTCTGTCGCTTACAGAGGAATCTTGTTCCATCTATGCATAACACATGTCCGACTATCTTTTCTTGTAATATCTACAGTATCAGATCTCGTCTTGTTTCAGTTTTTATTCCTTTTTGTAATTTCTTTATACCCTATATAAATAATCTGCTTACTTGTCTCTTACTCCATATCCAAGTGACTCTGCCGTATGTTAAGCTAAGTTCCTGTATTTCCGCACGATGCATTAATAATTTAAAATAAATATGTTAAATACTCCATGCAGCCCACTGAAAGAACTGACAGATCAAATAAAAAATATCTGATGAATGGACAGGGGTGTTGGTCATTATAATGTGTATCTTTTCTGTACTTCATTTAAATCTTTTAGGATACTGGGGATACTGGGAACGACCTGTTCTTCAAGTGCCTGAGCACTGCGGGACCCAACTTTTTGTTGGCTTGTTCTATAGACATTCGGTAGGACTCCTTTGACGAGGGATCGGCCCGTCGCGAGGCCTCTACCTGTACACAGGACAGCACAACACAGAAAAACGCAAACATCCATGGCTTGAGAGGGATACGAACCCACGGTCCCAGCGACCAAGCGGCACAAGGCCCACGCCTCAGACTGCGCGGCCACTGCGGACCCCAAATATTTTAGGATACCAACTGAAATACTCAAATGTAATGAAAGTGAATTAAACGCATCAAGGAAAACAGATTATTTATTAATGTTATGCAGTAACATCTTGTCTACACAGACATTTCAGTGAACATTTTATTGCATTTTGCAGGTATTAATGATCAGCCCTCAAAACCTAGGTGAAGATCTAATCCAACTGCTGGGATACACAAATCTCCGTCACCTACATGTAATCCAGAACCGGTACACACCAGGAGAAGTTAACATTAGACCGATACCAGCTCGAATCTGGAGGCAGTGTAGACGTTCAAATTCCAGTCTCACAGTTCATCTGGAAGTGGAAGGTGCAAGAGACAGGGATATTCTGTGGCAAGATAATGCCCCTGTGCACTCAATACTGTATGATTCTCACCACATCAAGGTACAAAAACAACAGGCAGTGTGTTTTGTGTTAACCTTACATGTGTTATTTTAATTTTATTTGTACAATTAACCCTTGAAGCCAAAATTTGTCTAAATATTACAAATTTAAATTAATCACAACACAATGATCAGTTTTAAATGCTGTGTGTAAACAGATAATCGCTGTTTATTCTGAGAATCGTATGAAATTCATAAATATTCCGTGCACAAGACATAAAGAGTCAGTGATTGTTAGAGCAGGTGGTATATATAGTTACCACTGAGCTTTAAAGGATGAAACATGCTGGTCTACTGCATGGTTAATAGATTCTACCAAATATTGGAATGAAATAATTGTGAAATGGAGGGAATTACATGAGTAAATACTGTATTATTCTATAAATGTTTAGTTTCAAATTTCTCAAGTATAAATTACATTTTGCCATGATCGGAAAAGCAACACAGAAAGCTCGCAAGTGACTCATTCAAATTAAAATGTACCACTCAATAACTCTATACTACAAGCATGAGAGCTTGTCTGCCAGGAAATATGTCCCAAGAGTATTCGTCAACACTGCATCATTTTTACTGAAGTAAACTTTCTTGAAATAAAATTTAGCTAATGCTTCATTAACCAGCCACTTTTCAGTTCTTGCCTTTTTGAGTTAATTAGGCAGAATTACAAGTAACAATATACTCCAAGCTATGTACAAGAAGCACATAACTGACTTAAGAATATATTAAAAACATTCATCCCCTCTGGCTGGAATTCACTTACAGACACAAATACAAGACACGTATGAAGTATTGATATACTGTGATCGGTAACTTTTAATTCATTATTCTTTGTCCAGATGACATCAGAATCAGTTCTTACAGCTATCGACCTGTACCAGTTTGATCTTCATGTTTATGCCCACCAAGGACTTCCAAGGTTCCACATGCCAAAGTCTTTTCATGAACGAGTTGACTCCTTGCTTCTGCTGTTGTGTCGGCAGTGTCCTTACCTACACACTCTGGTACTGTGGCCAGGTTGAGCCAACTCAGTAGAGTGCAACCTACAAAAATGTCGCCTAACATCCGTACTTTTTCCCTGCCTTCAGCATTAACGTTTATTTTACTTTTTACTTCAACATTAACAGCCTTGTGGTTATGAGAATATAATGCAACCTATGCTAATATTAAATTTTTCCTTGTTTTTGAAATGAAGAGTGGAGAATTGTAACTACTGTGTGTTTAAATTTCTTTGTAACTCATTTCTTCTCTTAATACCCAATCAAGAAATTACAGAACACTTCAGCAGAGTATGGGCTGATATGGAACGAGTAAACTCATATTTTCATCCATGGTATAGATTTCTCTTATGTTCGTCCTCCCACAGAGGAATTTTACGGTGGACATGAAAATTGAGGTTTCTTTCCAAGGTTCCTGTGCCAGTAAGTGATCTTATATTATTTGGAGGAGTCTCAAGGTTGTATTAACATTTACACCTTATTTGTTTCCTGTTATCATTTAAAATCCTTACTTTTAACTCTTGTAACACCTGATTATCATCTTGTGAGTCTAGTGTTGAGTGATAACCAAGCATCCATAATTCAGTACATAACAACTATGCCCCTGTAAACTTTGATAAACTTAGAGACCCGACTGGTTGTGTATGAATGGCATGACGACACTGATTAACATCAGAGCACAAAAATGTAGTCTTCAGTTACCTTCCTGAATCCTACAGTAGCTGCAGGGATATGTGAACAGTAATTTTCTACATGATTCAACTACCTTAAATGTGGCTTCAGACACTGAATTTAACTTAAATTAATCTATTAAGCAGAGATTAGATACATCTAAATTTCTCTGTGGCGATAGGCCATCACTTAAAATTGCCATCTTTCTCTGAAACCAGTCAGTTGTATATGCAATGTAATTACTGTTATGACTGTGTCACAATTTTAATTAAAATGATTAATTTATGATGAAACAATGTAACAAAAAGTGCCAGAATGTCCCTAGCTGAAACATATTTACAGAACTCATGGAAAATGTGTAAAATTAATATTACATTCTTTGTAAGTATTTAAAACTATAGGAACATAAGACAGGAGTTGATGCTTACCTTACTTATAACTTCTTTCCAGATGGTAAGGGAGCGTATTTCAACGGCAACCGTACTGCTCATGGCCCACACCGCACGCAATCTGCGTTACCTTTTCGTACGTCGCAACGCTGTAATTTTGCGGTGTGACTGGTCGCAGAGTCCTGACTGGAGCTGTGAGTTCTACCAGTGGCTTCGCTCAGCATCAAAGTCATATGACGCTACAGAGAAAGAAGTGTCACAAATATTAGGCTATACTTGGTTCATGTTACCAGATCAACAGTTTAAACTGACACGTATTAATCTTCACTACAAACCTTTCTAAAAGGAGAATTTGGTTCATACTATGAGAAAGCATGTCTACCCAAAAATGTAAGCTTCATCTGTGAGATAAACCGATGAACTACTTAATCTTGCAAACTCATATCTCAGTAGGATTTTTATAAAGAAAATAAAGTGGAAAGTGTTTTAGTAAATGTGTTATGCCAATTGAGGAAAAAGTATACATGATGCATAAATTAGACTTCATTTTTGGCACACAAAAAAATGCTGATAAATGTATATTTTTTGTATACTGTGCTTTTGCAAGTTTTTTTTTAATGATGCTTTTATTTTACACTTTTGTAACTTGAGGAAGCCTATTGTAAGTAGTGAAAATGTTTTAAATATCTCAGAAGTACCAAGTTTTGACAGTCTGCTTTGGAGTCAAATCCTGAGTTCTGATAATTTCCTCATGACCCAGGCTCAATATTTTTCAGTAATGTATTTTCTCTGCTCAAGGTTTCCTCAGTTTATAATAAAATAAGTTGTTGAGCAGGAAAATTTCCTGTGAAAGCAAGATGAGAAGGGTAACAGTTTCTTTAACCTTAAATAAAGGTTGTGAATTCATACAGAGAGCAGACAAATATTATTTGTTGTTGAAGTATGGATGTAGACGGTAGATCTGCTGACATGATCTATGAAGACCTATTATAATTTAAGTTTTTAAAACTATTTTCTGTAATACAACATAATGTAATTTTTCTGTGTTATTGGTTCCTATTTTGTACACAAATTCAGTGTTGCCAAAGAAATTCTGGTACAGCAAATGAAAAGAAAACAGTACAACATTTTGTTCTTAACACTTCAAGTGGCGAAGTTCATCTAAACAGTATTTAAAAATTCAGTTGCTACCTCAAAAACACATCATAACCCCATTACAACAAACATTCAGTTACCAATGTTTAGGAAACAAATTACTGTTTATTCTGAGAACTAACCAAACATCATTAAATGCACTCTGAAGGCAAAATGCCAAGTCACTATGTTATTGTATATAGTATAAATAACTTACCAGTGTGATATTAAAAGTAGGATAAAATTATTCCTAGAAATTTTAAATTGCTGCAAAAATAATCCTTGCCTATGAGTTTTAAATAACTGGGTACTGTGTGATGATGTCAAAATAATTTATCTCTGCTGATGGCTTCAGGAGACTGATAAATTGTAATATTTTGTCAACATAGCAGAGTGATACATTTATAGTTGTTGAATAAATTAAATAATATGCGTGCATCATGTTTAAATCTTCTTGGATATGTCCCTCATCCTTATCAAGACATCTCTGTGGTTTAATGTCATTGACTTCCTGTAATGACCTCGTGAGGTTTCCCCATTATCCGAAATAATCTTTCCACAAGCTTTTTCCAGTGTTATCCGCCAAAGTAACTTCTTCCCATGAAATGTTCAAACTTTTACCCTCCCACATGACTTTTGGAAGTCAAATCAAGGAGAATGATATGGCTTGTCATGTTGTGTGCATTGCGAAATAAGATATGCATACAAAATTCTGGTTAGAACTTCAAGGAAAGGGATATATATCAGACCTACACATAGATGCGAGGTAAATATTAGTATGAATTTTAAAAAAAACTAAATTGTGAGGGTGTGTACTGAATGAACGTGGCTCAGGACAGGGTCCATTGGCAGGCTCTTTTCAACATGGCAGAGAGCCTCCTTTATTCTCAAATAGCAGGCAATTTTTAGACTACCTGAGCAAAAAATCATCTGAACTTAATTTACACATACACATAAACTGAGAAGTTGTGACAAAAGATTTATTCATACAAACTCGAATATGGTAAATACGGATGATATAAGTTTCAAATATTAAAAGGAATATATCACTAATTTTGAGAGTCCGATGAAGTAGGGGGGAATAATTGGCTATAAAGGGTTCCTAAATGCTGAATGTTATTCTGCATAGTGCTGCGCAGGGTATCGGTGTACTGTGGTTCCGGGCGGGCTAATGTTGCGTCTCGCCACATAAGACCATTCTCATCACGGGCAAAGAGAGCAGGAGATGGGACGTGATCACGTAGGTAGTTCCACACGCAATCACGTAAAAGTTGAACAACCTGCAAAGTACAGATTTAGTTCTTAAAGTCATTTTAGAAAGTCCACGAAAGAGCACAAGCTAAGTATTTCATTGAAAGAGGGCTCGTATGAATTCAGTAATGATTTTACAACTTTCCTATCCTTAAGTATATGAAATTTCATAAATATGAGAACTTTAGTGTGCAATGAACAACATATCAAAAAAAAAAAGACAAGAGGAAATAAGGACAAAAAACAAACGAAGCGGAAACAAGAACATGTATATATAGATGCCCCATTAAACAAAGCTCAATAACGATCATGAGAAAAATTTCTTTTTCAATTTTAGCAGTACAAGTTAACAACAGAAAAAATTATTTCCATTGGTACTACTAGTTCAAAGTTCCCGATTCTCCTGTGTCAAACGAATCTACAATACGTCATCTTGTGAACTGTTTCTGGGCTGAAAAAACTTATCATCAGGTTACATCAAACATGAGGAAGAGAGTGAATGTGTCACTAAATATGGTGACCACATCCAACACTTCACATAACATTGTTTTTTTTTTTTTTTCCTTTTCTTTTCCAAACAGAACGTGTCAGGAATCGGTTGCAAGACCTTTCAATTACTCTGTACTATACTGTATGCAGATAGTCAGGTGAGAGTAACCTCAAATGAAAATACACCTATTTTATAATGCACAAAACAAAGTTATCCAGAACACACCTCTTGTGGCTTCAGGTAAGGTATTACATCTCTCAAGCTTGAAAGCGGAGGTGGCAAAAGTTGTCCCAATGCCATCAACTCCAGAACTTGTGTTGTGGTCGCAAGCAATTTATCATTATGTTGTGCCCTCTGAGCCGCTGATCCCCACTGAGCCAAAAGAGTTGCTGTCAACGCACGGAGAAGCACAGAGCAGTAGCAGAGGGCAGGGCGGTATGATGCTACTAATGACATCAGATGCCATATGAGCGGAAGATCGTCAAACAGTCTTCGGATATAGAGGTCTCGTTCAACGGTCACCTGCAAGGCATTTAGTAAATTTACAATTTTTACAGATATCTTTCATAGCCTGAAGTAATAGCACAAACAAAACTTGTTAGCATGTGTCACAATGATTCAATTACGGGGGGGATACGTGAACGAAACAGGAAGCAGAATGTGTTGAAAATTAGAAGTGTTAACGACGAAGGGGAACTGTCATGCAGAATGATATTATTTATTGGTGAATACCTGCTGTGAAATATCAATGCATAAACCAACCCATGATGAAACAAAACAAGATCTTTACTTTGGATTGCAGATGCCACAATAACTGAAATGTGCAATACCAATCTTGCAATTTTACAAAATTCAGAATTATGTACATATATTCAGTGTTCTGTCTACACTTATTACACAAAGACTATTCAAGAACTGAATGACTGCTAAAATACCAAAAATAAGTAATGACACATCATGCCTATAAATGCACAGGGATGAGTATATAAAGGGAATACTCAGACTAGAAAACAAAACTTGAGTAATACAAACTCATAAATACTTTCACACACATACATTACCTTGCAAAATTCTTCCTCTGGCCAAGGCAGTCCATTGTACATAACATCTGGAGATATTAACTCAACTAACAGCAATGATACAGTCGTTATTGCGTCTAGAGACACAGGTTGAGTTTGTGACTGTTCAGAACCAGTTTCAGACCCTGAAAATAAATTAATCACACGCATTAAGTTCTTCACCTTCTACTAAAGAAGACTTTTATAATGACAATGTGAATGATCCCTGACAGGGGCAGAAAATTTTCCACAAGCCTGTGTCTAGACTGGCTCTGAGACCAATCCAGCCTCCTATCCAATGAATACCTGGGTCCTTTCCCGGGTGTAAAGCATTGCCAGGGCGTGATGCTGACCACTCACCCCTATCTAGTGCTGAGATTAAGAAGGCATAGGAGCTATACCTGTCCCGCGCCTTAGCCGCACGGTCTGAGGCATCATGCTTCGGACCGGTGATACAAAATGCACGCTGGTTCGAGTCTTGGGGAAAGAAATTTCTCGTGAGATTTTCGACTGGTGTATAGGACCGGTGCAAACCCAGCATCGTGCGGAAATTGGGGAGCTACAATGAGTAGCCTAATCCGGTCAGGAAAGCTAGCAATGGCTGGGGGTTCGTCGTGCTGACCACACGCCACCCTATATCTGGTTGGATGATCGTTCGCCTCTGCTTAGGCATGTCAACGTGAGGCCAGCAGCCAGCTAGTCGGCTTTGGCTCTCATAGGGCTGTTACGCAACGGATTATTAGGAGCTATACCTCCTCTCCCCTGAAGTACCTACATGGTGGATAGTGGGGAAATTTTACTTATACTTTTAGGATTATGTGAACCAGAATCATCAGTAGAGGCATTTGTGTTCTGCTTGGTTGTCATTTCCCGAAGCACTGTTATACATTGGATGATAATTTTAGTGCCTTTCAATGTTACACAGTACAACAGCCCAGAAGTCAGCCATCTTCAGTTGAGAATACTATTTTTATATTCACTTGGAATGACAGCAAAACAGCCTCACACAGGATAAAGTCCTAGTATCTGATTCAGCTTATATCACACTTGTTACAAAATAACTTACTAGGTTCACAAAGTTTCAGGACCATTCTCTCAATAACAAAGTATACTTATCCCACCTGTTGAACAGCATGCCTTAATGACTTCAATGAGTAACTGTGTGCAGCGTGTTACAGTGTCAGGATCTTGAGACAAGTTAGGTTGAGTTTTCCTTGGTCCATAACCAATTACACCAGTATGGAATACGGATGAGTGGCGCTGTGCTAACATCACACTAGTACCCTGCAGACAATTCAGTGTATTAAGAAAGTAAAACAACAGCAAGCAAAATCATATTAATAAAAATAAAGATCTGATGTATCTACAGTGGTGAAAGTTTTCATTGTGTTCTTCTGGGTTTTGACAACCTACTGCCTTCATCTTATAACCCAAAGATAGAGGTGACAGGCTCTTCTCAAACACTGGTAACAATCTACAAGATTGTATGGCACTATTAAACCACAATCCATATGGTGAATTTAAATAAACTGTGAGAGCAAAATTACTACAACCAACAACCACCCCCCCACACAAAAATTCCCAAATATACAAAGTGAAATTCTCTTCACATAGTAAACTGGAAAAGAAAAAATCTCTTGTAGTATCTGCATAAAGATGGCAATTCACCATCTGGTTTCAAGGAAATATTAGATGATTCTATCATACAGCTAACCTGTTTGTGGTTCTCACAAAGAAGTTCCACGTCTTCTCTAGGTGCTCTTATTAGAGGGGGGAGGTTGGCTCCAAACAGACGTGAGTGTGAACGGAACAAAGAACCTTCCAGTAATTCTCGTAAAGCAAGAGAGCGAGCTGGCGGCGAATGAGACGACAGATGAGCCAGGAGACAGCAACATAAGCGAACGCCACGAAGTCTAACCAAGTCATCTGAAATATCGGCAAAATGATATTAAAATAAAGAATCTGAAAAGGACATCGGCATTATGAGGGTAATATTAAAATATATTACCAATCACAGAAAGAGACTGCTTGGAGACATCAGCATTATGAGGGTAATATTAAAATATATCACTGAGGAAGTATAAACTGGGCCATGCCTGGGTCTAATAGCACACCTTTTATGAACCAATTTGTTCCATAAAAGAATAAAATATTTTTATCTACCTAATAACTACCAGTTACTCTAAGAAGACCCAGTTAGTTATCTGAGAAAGCAAAGCTAATTAACTTCAACACGTAAAGATGGAGGAACAAACCTTTCTCCGACACGCAAAGGAAGAAATAAGTAACAGCAGCTTTGGCCATCAGAAGAGTGAACTGAACACTGAGCATGTATACATCATTAGAAGATTTGTCTCCTACTATGGCCAAATCCAGAGCCGTAGCCACAGCATGAGCCAGACGGGAGTCAGAAACAGCACACAGATGATCCGAAGCTTCGCGCAAATTGCATCTAACCGCACGAGATATCAAACCACCTCTAATGGATGGCGCTTTGCCACTGTATTCCCACCTATAAAGAAAATAAAATACACGCACAACTTTGAATTCGAGGTTAAGCCACGTCAAACGTCAAAAATTATACATTTTGACAAAATTCCAGCTGCTGAAATGTTAGATAATTTTTGACATTTCACG